CAAGATAAACTTTTTATTCTCAAGGTTGAGAAAATAGTCAGTTTTTTGGTACATAAATAGACTAGTGGTTATTTGAAAGTCAAGGATATAATTGCAATGCAAAGTACATTTTGTACCGGAAATTCGAGCAACTGTCACCTTGGAATTTTGGGCACAATTTTTGGGAGATAAAACATATTGGTGTTTCTCTTTCATTTAAAAAAAAAGAGGGTGCGAAAGGATGCATCTTTCTACAACTATGGTACAGCATTAACTTGATTCAGTTATTATCACAATGTCAGGGGTCCTGAGTCAACACAAGCCTCCAGCTAAAGAAATACATAAACTATTATATTGCTTATTTTTTTAAATTCTGATTTAGGTCACCCAGCCCCAATTTACTTCATAATCTTTCTGCAGGGTTCATTTTCTAGGAAAATTTTTGTGATTTGGATTCAAGATAGAATCATAATTTACATAATGGTTTTTAGCTCACCTGAGCCGAAGGCTCAAGTGAGCTTTTCTGATCACATTTTGTCCGGCGTCCGTCTAGCTGTCTGTCTGTCCATCTGTCTGTAAACTTTTTACATTTTCGACTTCTTCTCAAGAACTGCTGGGCCAATTTCAACCAAACTTGCCACAAAGCATCCTTGGGTGAGGGGGATTCAAATTTGTTCAAGTGAAGGGCCACACCCTCATTCAAAGGGAGTTAATTGGGAATTAATGAAAATTTGGTGGTATGTTTAAAAAATCTTCTTCTCAAGAACCACTGTGCCAGGAAAGTTGAAACTTATGGAGAAACATCCTCAGGTAGTGTAGATTCAAATTTGTTCAAATCATGACCCCGGGGGTAGGGCGGGGCCACAATGGCCGACCAAAGTTTTACATAGAAATATATAGGAAAATTCTTTAAAACTCTTCTTCTCAAGAATAACAAAGCCATAATTGATCATATTTATTTTGAAGCATCCTCATGTGGTGTAGATTCAAGTTTGTTCAAATCATGACACCCAGGGTAGGGCGGGGCCACAATGGCCGACCAAAGTTTTACATAGACATGTATAGGAAAAATCTTTAAAAATCTTCTTCTCAAGAATAACAAAGCCATAATTGATCATATTTATATGGAAGCATCCTCAGGTAGTGAAGATTCAAGTTTGTTCAAATCATGACCCCCGGGGGTAGGACGGGGCCACAATGGATGACTAAAGTTTTACATAGAAATATATAGGAAATTCTTTAAAAATCTTCTTCTCAAGAATAACAAAGCCATAATTGATCATATTTATATGGAAGCATCCTCGGGTAGTGAAGATTCAAGTTTGTTCAAATCATGACCCCTGGTGGTAGGGTGGGGCCACAATGGCCAATCAAAGTTTTACATAGACATATGTAGGAAAATTCTTTAAAAATCATCTTATCAAGAATAGCAAAGCCATGATTGGTCATGGGACTTCTTTTGGACTTAAACTTTTCAATAATAAACCAATTTCTACTTTTTCCTAGCCACAGTGCTCAGGTGAGCGATATGGCCCATGGGCCTCTTGTTTTTCTCATAATTTCACAAAGTTCAATGAGAAAAATGAAATTTAAATACTAAATTCACATATAAAATATGATTTCTTAATATCTGATGCTATAGGCATTCTGCCCACCTTATCCCCCATCTTCTTTAAAGAAAGATGCTGTATTACCAGAAAAGGACTTTATTCAGTAATAATCAATATTTGCCCCAGCAAATCAAACTTTGATGGAGAAATATTTAATAATGTTCTAAAACAGGGGAATATATGCTGACTTCAAAACACTGAATATTTTCATAAGCAATGATGACATATGTTTGAAATGATGTAAATTTAAAATTTCCACGATTTCTACAGAAAAATGTATATACTGTATAAGTAGAATTTTTAGCGAGAATTTAATTTTGGCATTATTAGCGAGGGTGCTGACATCGCTAAAATTGAATATCGCTAAAAATTAATTGCGTATTATTTGTAATAGCTTCTTTAGTTAGCATTTTAAAATCGCTAAAATTACTTCTCGCTAAAAATAAAATACCAGATTTTAGGTAGAAATCGCTATATTTGCGTTTTGCTAAAATTTCCACTTATACGGTATTACGTCGATAATTTGAGTAAAAGTCACCAATCAGGCTCAATAGTTTGATATAATGTGTAGAATGATAATATCAATGAAATATGTAAATATTATTCTTGAACAAACTTGCGCTCTATAAATTTAATAGCTAAAATTTGTTGAAATTTTGTTCATTTTGTCCTCTTTCTACAAAATAATATAAAATCGGACTAGTCTGTGACGTCATAAAAACAAAAATTGTCAATAAACTACTTTGAAACTAGAATTCAGCACATTTCAAGAATTTTTCAAAATCCGACTTTTGTGGGGGCAAAGATATGCAATATACCACATATAGTTCTTTACCTGTAGTTTGTACCTGAGCATGTTTACAATGACTCATTTCAGGTGATACAGGTGTGTGCTGCTACCTTGGGTATCCCGATGGATATCATTCGAGTTAAACCCACAGATTCCCTGAGTACAGCCAACAGTGTTACAACGGGTGGCAGTATCACCAGTGAACTCTGTTGTAACGTATGGGTCATGTTCTAGAGATTCAAGAAAGTAAATAACTTGTAAAGCATTGGCAAAGTGTGTCACTGAAAAAAATTAAAAACCTGTGTTTTTCTTGTTGACTGATTTTAGGCTGTTTTGCAATGCTGTGATGCTTTGAACAAGAGAATAGCACTAGTGAAACAGAAAATGGCTGGCAAGGCCTGGAAGGATATTATATTCCAATGCTTTAGTGAAAACATTGATTTGTCAGAAAGATACTGGTAAGGTTTCACATAAGAGAGGTGTTAGCTTCTTATTTTTAAGTTCAGTTTATTTTTATCAGAAATTTATATTGACTTGCTTTATGAAAAAAATTATTATAATCCGAAAGGTAGTCCCAAAAATAATGTCTCTTTCCCAACTCACAGAAATCCTCATTTGTGTACTGTGTGACAGGTTTAAATGTATGTAGTAATACTATATATTTTTGTCTTTTAGGGAGGCTCCAAACAGTCCCAATGTTTTCCAGTACAATTCCTATGGAGCGACCTTGACAGAGGTCACTCTGGATGTCCTCACCGGTCAGCACATCATCGACAGAGTAGACATGTTGTTTGATTGTGGAGACAGGTCAGCAAATCATAAACATAAAAATCATTAAAAATTGTTCCTGTAAACCTCAGTGGGGGTTGGTGGGATAGGATCAAAAGAAGGAATGTTGAATATTAAAAACATTTTTATGTAGGCTTTTTTTTAAGTACAGTAAGGCAATAATTTTTCTGTTGAAAGAAATTTAACTTTTTGTTAATCAAATTAGTCTGATGTTTTGTCTAATTGTCGATTTATTCTATAAATCTATATGCCATTGTGTAGAATAGACTCTTTATCTTCAAAGCCATTACGCCAACTTTAACTGAACTTGCCATAAAGTATCTTAAATTGAAAAGAATTCAAATTCTTTTCCAAGAGAAGGTGATTCAGAAAAAAGAGAATCAAGTGTTCTCGTAAAGAATTCCTTTGAAGAACCGCTTTAAATTATGTAAATTTTCCTTGTACTGAATTTTGCAGTGTCATAATTTCTGGTCAGTATGATTGTACAAGGCATTGTAGACTAGTACCGTATATTTGTTGGTTTTTTTTTCGCATGTTGGAAATTTTGCGAAAAAGAGGTAAATTTGTATAGTTTTAATTTATTTTTTACGATTTAAGATTATTTTTTTTAAAGAAATGGTACTGTTTTTAGGTCAAAGTATAGCTGATATAATTTCTGCATGTTTTATATTTTGTGAATTAAAAAAGATCGCAAAAAAAAACGAAAAATAGATCATCGCGAAGAAAACGGATATTCGGTACTTACTGTTTTTCGTACCATGTTTTATGGTTACGTCCATTTAATATATGTGTGAAAGAAAAAGTGAATCACATTTGTTTGGCATAAATTCCGATTTATTTAATTATAAAATTCATGCATTTGGGGGTAGAATGCAGTCATGGGTTTAGATGGGCCAACAATAGGGTGTCCCATTTTTTTCGCAAGGGAGAATTTTAACTTTTTTGACACACACAGTATGAACCCTGAAATTGACATTGGACAGTGTGAGGGGGCCTTTGTTATGGGTCTGACACTGTCTTAATTATTTGTATTTTCAGTATGAACCCTGAGATAGACATAGGGCAGTGTGAGGGGGCCTTTGTTATGGGTCTGGGGTACTTCCTCTTGGAGGAAATCAAGTACGACCAGAAAACAGGACAACAGCTCACTGATGGCACATGGGTAAAATTATTGATCATTTCATTCCAGTGGACAATGTTTATCAACTTAGTAAATAAATAAAGCTAGAATCTTCCACATAGATAACATGCATATTTAATGATATAATGTATATATAATATAATATAGTGTATATGTACAGTAAAACTCGGTTATAACGAAGTCACTGGGACCTCTGAAATTACTTCGCTATATCCGTAATTCGTTATATCCGTATAAGAAATTCGTTAAATTTATATAGCTGGGGATCCAAGATAACTTCGCTATATCCATGAATTCGCAATATCCGTGTTCGTACTAACCGAGTTTTACTGTATAAGACCTTTGTTTATACAAGTATTAATTTACGGCATTATAGATATGGCAGATAAACATGGATTTGTAAAATTTGAGGGATTTGTATTCATAGTGTTGTTACTGGTAACTTGGAAATGTAAGAGTGGGAGTAATTTTTGCAATTTAAAAAAAAACGTATTAAAGAAAATTTCACATGAAATGTTTTTTTTTTTAATTACCATATTATACTGGTAATTCTATTTATACACATAATACAAAAAGATTATCTATGATCTCTTTTCTATTTTCATGAAAAGTTTGGTGACAAAATTGCAAACCAGCTACCCTTTGCAAAATGTTCTGTGTTTACAGTATAAGGTTTAAATTATTATTTTGTTATATTCTGCAGAGATTTTTGTACTTTTATAGGAATACAAGGTTCCACTGGCAAAAGATATCCCAGTTGATTTCCGTATAAACCTGCTGAAGAACGCCCCCAATCCTTTGGGAATTCTCCGAGCTAAAGGTGAAACTGGTTTCTGAAACACTTATGTAAAATGCATATTCAGACATATAAACTATTCTAGGGAATAGAAAACAAAGGAATGGAATTATTTGTATTTTGTAGCCTGTGGTGAACCCCCGTTGTGTATGAGCTGCTCTGCCCTATTTGCCATTAAGCACGCTGTGGAGGCCTTCAGAAGGGATATTGAAAAAGACACTTACTTTGCTCTGGGTATGTTTTTATTCTGTTTCTGAGTCCGACTCATGGGGATGCCATGATTTTAAAGGAACATTTTGTGTCTCTGCTAGGGATTGAACCCGGGGCTCTAGCTTGCCAGTCCATTGTTCTACCAATTGAGCTAAAGGGTTAACCCCTAGCCCAAGCTAGTAGGATGCTGTTTATCATACACAACTACATGATGATGGAATCAATGTATGACACTTGCGTGTGTAATTCTCTATTTGGGGATGGGGTCGTTAGCTCTACATTTAATATTTTACATGCTAATTGCAGAAATGTAATTTATAATACATACCGGTATATGAAACAGTAGGGAAAATTGAAAATACAATGTATAATTATTATTATGTGTTTTTCTAGATGCTCCAGCAACAGTTGAGAAAGTCCATCAAGCCTGTATGATTGATGCTTCACAGTTTATAATCCAGTAGTTTACTAGCTGAAGAGAAGTAACATTTGTGATAACACATGTATGAAATACATGTATAAGTAATGATCATTAGCCAGTGCTTTCAACCTTTGTAAAGATTTTATTTTCTATAAACATTTATATACATTTCAATTTAGCATATGTACATGCATTATAACATGAATTTATTGTATATAAAGAAATTTTTGCCCCATTGCCCTACTTACAGGTGGGCAGATTTAAAATGGGATGAATTCACACTGAATAATTTCTTTATCAGAATTGTGTCTGGGCAAATTTAGAATTGGTTGAAATTCTTTGCAAGTGAAAAAGGGCAAAAATAATCCAGTACACTGCATGTTTTTTGAACAATGTCTTTTTTAAAAACATATTTTGTAAGAATATGTTCATTAATCAATCTTATTTTTATTCATTGATTCCCCATGTTTGATTGGATGAGAACAAATTCAAGAATAAGTTTACACTTCAATAAATTTTTCAATCAGAATTTCTTTCTTGACCTAGCTTTTACAGCTACTGTAAAAAAAAAGAGACAAACAGTTACATGTACTTCTAGTCTGTTTAAGCGTAATTTAGATTACAGAAACTTGAAATTTTGAATAAAACAAAACAGGGACAAACATTTTAATTAGTTTAATTTTAAAAATCTATTCCCGACATTCCTACTAGGCCTATGCAAATCAGCTCAGTTCTCCATGGCGTTATGATAGGAAAAAGAAACGTACCTCAGACTCTTGCTTATTATTAGCATCAATTCATATTTTGACATCCAAAACTCTGTCTCATCTTTGAACGAACCAGAGCAAATCAAGCCTTTTTACTCACAAACTTTATATATAAAATTTTTTACTTACTTTATGAGTAAAATGGCATGAGTTTACACATCAATAAATTCGAAAAAAGAATATTTAATCCTATATTGCAAACTTGAATATGAAATAACAGTAAAACATGTACATGTATATAACAAAGTGCCAAGGATGGGCAATTTTGCTTCTTTATAAATGTAATGTGTGATATATCTGCTAGCTTTATAGTGTGTTTAAGACCTGCTGGGAATGAAAATCACTTCGCTCTGAATTCATTATAGTTGTGTTTTACTGAAGTATGAATTCATGAGTCAAGTGCAGAATAGTATTTATACAGAAAGAACTAGTGTCATTATGTCTGTTAATCTCTACATGATTTAGTTGTTTTCATTATTATTTTTGTGTGTTTAAATTCATTCAGTTCTTTGTACCTGAATCAATGGAAATAAAATATTTGTTTGACATACTGTAAGGGATGGAATTATAGCAAAAAAAGTGATTTTTATAGCATTTGTAATATGCAATCTGTTCATTTGGTAACTGTCATGCATTAATTAGTGATTTGAATGTTAACTTGATCCGTGAAATATTGAATGCTTTTAAAAAGCGAATCTTTAAAATTTGAACTGTGATACTAGTATTAGAAATATAATCTTTGAATATTTATTTACAAATAAAGTATATATAAACATGTGAGTTGTAATTTGAATGTACATACAGGCAGCTAGTATATGATGCTCAGTTAATTTTTCTGATGCAACTTTGTTTGGAATCTTTTTTTTTAAACACATTTTTGCTTTTTCTTCAGAGTGACAGGGGCAGATCTGCTAAGTAGTAATTTAATGATTCTAGAACTGCTGATTGGGGTTCATTATCCTTTGAATGAGAGGGATAACATACAAATAACTCCTACAGTCTTGTGAATAAACTATCCTACTGAGGTTAATGACTCCAACAGTCCTGTGAATAAACTATCCTACTGGGGTAAATGACTCTTACAGTACTGTGAATAAACTATCCTACTGGGGTAAATGACTCCTACAGTACTGTGAATAAACTATCCTACTGGGATAAATGACTCCTACAGTCCTGTGAATAAACTATCCTACTGAGGTAATTGACTCCTACAGTCCTGTGAATAAACTATCCTACTGGGGTAAATGACTCTTACAGTCCTGTGAATAAACTATCCTACTGGGGTAAATGACTCTTACAGTCCTGTGAATAAACTATCCTACTGGGTAAATTACTCTTACAGTCCTGTGAATAAACTATCCTACTGGGATAAATGACTCTTACAGTACTGTGAATAAACTATCCTACTGGGGTAAATGACTTTTACAGTCCTGTGAATAAACTATCCTTCTTGGATAAATGACTCTTACAGTGCTGTGAATAAACTATCCTACTTGGATAAATGACTATTACAATTAAACTACCCTACTGGATTAAATGGCTTCTACAGTACTGTGAATAAACTATCCCACTGGGATAAATGACTCTTTAAATGTTGCATATATACTATCCTACTGGAATCTACAGTCCTATGAATAAATTATCCTACCTGGATAAATGACTCTTTCAGTGCTGCATATATACTATCCTACTGGGATAAACAACTTCTACTGTCCTATGAATAAACTATCCTTTAAGAAATACATTTTTAAACATCTATCGTTATATAAATACGGGTTGGTCACGAAATTAACAGTTATAGATACGCATTGCTTTCAGTAGTGTTATATAAAGGAAAACATTTGCAAATGTAAATACACTGGGATAAATGACTCTTTCAGTGCTGCATATATACTATCCTCCTGGGATAAACAACTTCTACTGTCCTATGAATAAACTACTGGGATTTTATTACAGTGTAATAAACGCGAAACTTATGCGTAATTACGCGAAACTTTCGCGATGAAACGTGAAACTTACGCGTTATAACGCGAAACTTGACAAATTTGCCTATTCTTTCTGAGATCTTGATCTTAACAATTTTATTTCAAATTCTCTGTAGAGTGTTTAAAAAAGACGCCTGAAAGGGTTGATTTTTTTCCCGAAATTCATAAAGATAATCATGAAGTTTGACTTTTGAAACACTCGGATAAACTTTGAATTGTTGAATCGCGTTGAGAAAGATAGAATGTTACGGTAATATGGATTCAATAGCAGGAAAACTTAAAATTATAGCTTGTGATGCTCCAGGATCAAAATAGCATTTTGCGTTTCATTGTAATGAATACACTAGATCACAAAATCAAAAGAAAGTGAAGACTTATGCAAATGTCTTGGTTAAACAGCAAAAGTTATAACGCGAAAGTTACGCATTCGCGAAAATTGCGCGTTTATTCGCTAAAGTTACGCGTTTATTCGCGATTGTTACGCATTCAGTTTTGCGTTATAACGCGAAAATTTTATTTTTTTAACCTACGAAAATGAGCTCAATGTGCTTTCGTTGTTGTCCACATACATATTATGGAAAAAAAATTAAAAGGGTCACAATTTTTTGGAAGAGTAAATTCCTATATATGTTAATTTTTTTTCGCAAAAAGGTTGCCATTTCTACAGTTTTTATCACAGGTACTTGTGGACATGACCCCCCCCCCCCCCCCGAAATAATATCAAACCCGTGGCTGGTTGGATATACTGTATACATTTCTATACATTTTAGAAGGGTATTTTGAATGGAACGATTTTTTTCCCATTTTTTTTTTCGATTTTGCCTGTGGTATACTTAATAATTAGATGTACATGTATTAAATATAATTTGTGAAGAATGCCTTTCAAGAAAACATTGAATATGCTGTATATCACTATATATATTTTTTAAAACGTCTTATTTTCGCGAGAAAGCTATTTGGTATTATAAGCGAGACAAAAATGTGCTTACTTTGTGTTTTTAACAATACAAATTTATGCGTGAATTTAATTTTCGCTGGCAGACATACTCGCGTAATTACGCGAAAATAAAGTTCTCACGTTCGTGTTTTCAAGTAAATAACCGGAAATTAGGAGACTTTGTACAAAAATAATTTTCATGCAACCACTAATCTTGCGCCTGTAGTCAGATAGATATACATCGGGGGATCTTGTTCCCTGTCTTAGAGTACAATGATTGCACTTCCTTGAACCCGGCGGCATATTCTCCATGCATAAGCGTATGTACAAGTAAGAAGTTTATCGCATTCTATCTGCCTTAGTTGCCCTTGAGTCTTTCTTTAGCGCTTCTTGTACCATTGTAAACTTATGGACATATAATATTGTTTACAGGCTAATTGAAATAACTTATCGATGATTGTTTGTTGTGGATGATGTTGCGTTTTGTTACATATGAATGGTATGCACATATAAATGTGTCAATCTTATATATACTGTATTCTTTATTCTATTAAAATATAAGAACACCTAATAATTAACACCCACCGCCACCCCATCCCTGATTTTTTTGTTTTGTTTTAATGGAGAAAAAAATGTCATCTATGGTAGAAAGAAATCAATTTTATCTGCAAAAATTAGCGCCTTGACTATATGATTTGAACTTTTTAACAAATAAAAATCAAATGGATACAAAAAGAGGGAACAGGTAATTCCTTCGAAGGAGAAAAATTGGGAGGGGATATATTCAAATAGTTTACATGTACATTTACATATTCTCTTTTATGTTGAAATGAAACATTTGGAATTTTAAAGAAAACGAAAGCGATAATACACCGAAAAATATAGATATTTTCGCATCATTATCGGAAAAAACAAAGTACACACGATAGGCTGAAATTAGTAAGTTTCTGAAATATTTCCAGAATGTAGAAAGCAGACGGCGTTATTTATTACTCAGAAGACACACAATGCTTAAAATTCGAGAAAAGAATGAATTTCACTTGCTTATTTTCCCAACAATGTGTCTTTGGAGGTGGCTATTTTTAGTGAGCACAACAGTCTATCAGGAGATCGGTTAGATTTTCCTACGTCTTTAGAGAGGTAAAAGTTACAATCGCCCCTCTCAACATCTCGGGTTACTCATCGCACAGAGCTTACGAGATGCGCGCGTGCCGTAAGACGCCGTGTCTATAAATGGACTTCCAATTTTGCGGGCTCCTGAGGTTGAAAACGAGAATTTTATCGTAAGGTAGCTGCTATCCGCTTCCGCGTGTTTCAATACTTTTCAAGCGTACAGGCTGTGTGTTTTTGTTTCCTCATGTGAGTACATTTCAATTTTAGTTTGTAATAACGTTTTATAAGCTTAAATTAATATGAATTTGCTGTTGTACAAATTCAAATAATTCAAATTTTATTCTATGGTTTTCTTGTACATTTTTCAAAATCAAAACATTGGATTATAATTTAAATGTTAAATTTAAGAATTTTATTTTTAAAAAAAGAATACGTTTATGAAAAAACCTGACTGAGTAAACATGTATCTGATTTTTGCACCAATTTCTAAAGTTTTTAAAAAGGATTCTGATATGTTGTTTTTATCTTCCGGATTCTTTGTATTCCGTCAATGGGAACAAAATGGAAAATTAAGGACATATGCAACGTAGTTAGAACTTTATTATCTTTTTCCTTGGAGGTGAAGAATTCCAATACTGAAAGGAACCGTGCGCAACATTTAAAAGTCCAAACGTGTCTTCTAAAACAAGTTTGGATCATCGATGAACAAAACATTTAGAATATATATTTAGTGAATTTTGTACATTTTTCTTTGAATTGCAAAAGAATATTCATCAGTTGATATCTTTTCAAAACCCCTGATAATGCATTCTGATTTTTTGTCTATGAACATCGCTGATGGCACTATAATCTACAATTTTAATATTATCTTGAAAAACCATCAGGTAAGGTATGTTGCATATGTCCTTAAAGATTTTTCCCGCTTGTACAATTGGTGCTAAAAAGAAAATAAAACGCATATTGTGAAAATAAAATCGTGGCGAAATATGCTGACGAGAGTGTTAAGGAACCATGAGTCAGCCCGTGTTGTATAGGTATATGGAAGCATCCTTGCAATCTCGTTAATCCGCCAGAAGGTGAAGGTCGTTCTGTGCAGTTAGACATATTTCTGTTTGCCGCGATTAGAGCGAAGATACTTCGCTGTCGGCTTCACTTAGCATTCCTTACAATAAAAGCACGCAGGGCCAAGTATTTACTGAATTTAATATCATATAGGGCAGGGGTATGTACTAGAATCTATCCTTCTTCGTTTCCTTGTTCTGCCTTTGGTCTAGAAATCGCTTTGATTGAGATATCTAATTAATAGGCCAATGATATACAATGGAAATTCTCGAGTAATTCAGTTCACTTCCTTAACTCTAAAATTTCTTCAATGTAGAATTTTAAACGATAATTTTTTTTAATGTTGATTGATGGGGCTTGAGTATCTTATCGCAAATGACTCACGCGGATCAGCTTGATGCCAAAAATCGTGCTAAAAGAAAATGGTTTTTGTTAGGAAATATCAGTTATACTAAATACAGGTCAATGCTTATTTTCACAATTCAAAGGACCGACAGTATTCCCGAGAACAATTTGTTGTTTGGAATTTACTTTTTAACCTTTGAACATTTTTTGGATTTATTTTGAGATAGGCCAGTGTTTTTCCTCCTAATTATGTGACGTAACACGCGGGAGGGAGCCTTCACGAGAAATTTACTTGCTAACAAAGCATATTTTTTTGCGCTGTTGGGTATCAAGAAATAAGAAGATGATCCAATTAGTTTGTTCTGCTGTAATGACGTATGCATTTTAGAGTGTTTTTGAAAAATATCTACGAAATTCAAATCATGATATTTTTTGGCTGATTCATAAGCTATGAAGAGCGAGGATGAACTAGAATATCTATTTTTAGTTGATTATTTAATGAATGTACAGACTTTCTAAATTTCTTATACGACGCTTGACCATTACCCTTTTTTCTCTGGAGGAGGGAGTGGGATAAAGAAGATTAGGGGAAGAACTTTGTTTTATGAGAACTTTGTTTGATGACCGATTTATCTGCAATAGTAAAATGTTAAGATTCAGGAACAAGTAATAAAAAGTTTATGAATAAAACGCGAAATTTAACAATTCAAATAATTTACAATTTAGTATAAGTTTTACGCCGTGATGGTATACAACTAGTAAAGAACGATGGCGCTTCTGACTGGAATTCGACAGGAATCTCGGCACATACATTGAAAAGTAAAGAAAAAAAGTGTTGAACTGTCACATGAAAATTAAGGGTTTTTTTATGTATCATATTCTTTTGAAATAGGAAAGGAAATATTTTCTCTATAGTGTGTTTAATTACAAAAAAAACCTGAAGATATCGTTATATTAGTCATTTGGTACAAAATATCTAAAAAAAAAATTGCCATCTCTGTCATCTCTCCGCGACTTTAAACCGTAATTTGTTTTCATTTTAATGCGAAGAAATTAATGTAGAAAAATTGTGAGAAAATGCAGAGACAGTAACACTTATACTGCGTTGCTTCATTGTCGTTTTAAATTCCATAATTATTTTCCTTGTAAGTAGTGTGCGTATCTAGTCTAGAACACACATTGAGATTTTTTTTTTTTTGCTCAAATCCTCGCACTAAGCATTATTTTTTTTTATGTAAACAATCAAGTCGTTAGTCAGTTCAATTTTACTTAATGATTTCTTAAAATTTGAAAATACTTGTATACAAATTTTGGTTCAGTTGCGCCGAGAGGGAAATTAAATCTTCTTATTTTCTGAGACTTTCGTACATGGATTTGATCTTGAAGGTGTTAATTATTCATGAATATTCATGTAACTGTTTTGTAGCTATAAGATAAATGAACGTAAATATTCATTTCAATGTAAATATATCTTTTTTCCTATATGCGTCACTTCGTATAAAATCTGTTCAGCTGGGGTCAGCTGACCAAACGTGGTCATTTAAACAATAAATGTTTCGTACACATGAATTCCTGCAGATCACACACCAAATCAGCCCATCTTCTTTCAGCTCGATTGCTGCATTAATACGTCAAGATGTCGTCTGACAAAGTGCGCGCCACCAAGTCCGGGTTCGGACGTGACGTTGAACACAAAATGGAATTAGTAAGCTAAATATTTAACCATTTTGCACATCTCATTTTCATATCTAGAGTCAAAACCAGGAAAAAGCCATAAAACATGGGTGATCGCGCAAAAAAGTCTGGCTTAGGATATGAAGTTGAAAAGAAAATGGAACTTGTAAGCGGATTGCTCCTAACATCCTTTTTGTTTGGCCCTTCTATGTCTCCAAGTCAGACGTCATTTCTGTTTGTCCTATTCACATGACTTTACAAAAAAGGATTTCTTAAATGTGCTCCTTTGTGAAGTTACTAAAATTATAAGAATTTTTTTATTTTTGGAATTTTCCTTTTCCATGACTACGAGACACAGAAGGTTATGACTAACCCCAAAAAGCTGATTACCTGAAGCATTGAAATTTAATTCTCCATGAACCTTTTTCCACAGACAGCGGTTAATACCACAGGTACTAGACAAAAATTATTTAAAATTGAGGGCCAACGATGTCCTTTAGAGCCTCCAAATCGGGGTTTGGCTATGAAGTTCAAAAGAAAATGGAAGCCGTAAGACCACAGAAAAGCCTTATAACCTTGTATCTAGATGAGATCTTAGATTCACTATTAGTAACATCACAGTACCTGGCAAAGAAGACAATGCTATCGCCGCATGTTTAATATCATTGTTATCGATCAGCATGAAGCTAGGCTTTATATCAAGCTTGCTACATTGCCTGCAAAGAATCATAGATTTTATGCTGTACTGAATTCGTATACAATCGTAAAAGAACATTTAACGGGAATATATTAATGTGTTTGGAACATCATCGCTTTCTTTGTTCTGTAATACATAAAGCGGGGCTGCACTGTGTCAAGACATATATAGTCATTGTACATTGTTGCTTTTTTATCTTGTATCTACCGAATTTTCATAAGAATCAGAAAATCATAATTTGTTACTTTGAAAAAAAAATTCCTCATGGCGTTGTCTACCATATGATCTTGTGTTGTTTGTAATGTTGCTTTGTATCAACAACCGGCATTGCAACGACAATTATTGTGTTTACCTTCATCATTTCAAGCGATAGCATTGTCTTGCTGGCAAAATATATACAGACTATATTATATATATATATACTGTCCGCATGCTCCACAAATCCAATTTATTTCTAGATTTCCCCAGTGAAATATGTACACCTGTAGACCGCGTTTTCTCGGTTAATTTTCCTGGTTGATAAGCATGCCTGTTTAAGATTAATGTATGATATATTTTTTGATTTTTTTTTTTCAATCTTATACTCATCTTTTGAAATGTATGAAGTAGAATATTTTATTTTCTTGATAACAGCATTTAACTCCTGTTGTGATACGTGATACTTTGGCGTTTACCAATGTTCTGAAGAATTTGCTTGGATAAAATAAAAGTTGTTAGATTGTCCTATTACTATTAATGATACAAAAAATTTACTAAGCGTTAAATGTATATTTTGTCTCATCGGGAGTTAAATATTGTACTAGTTTCTTATACTTTTATTATTGAATTTTCGTTAGTTTTAATTTGTAAGCACATAAAAAATCTTTACTGGAGAAATAAAAAAAATATCTTTTAGAAATCATATTTTTATAACAAATAATAATTTCAAACTAAACAATGAAATGGTGCCGTGACCAGGATACTTATTTCAATTTTTATATTAGAACTATGATCGGGAGGAGGAGGCTGGTACCCCAGTGCACATTGTCAACTGGTTGAATGAAATGCTTGCAGGAGAACATCCTAAATGCGTAAGTATCTGATTTGTCATTAAATAATCAGATTCAGTTAGATATTGATGCACATATGTCTTGATGAAGTTCTAAATGTTGTTGCTTTTCACGTAACCTTTGAATCTTTACAGGAAGCCACCGATTGGAAATCAATATGCACTTACCTCAGAGACGGAGTAGCTCTCTGCAAGTAAGTTCTACATGTAAGGTGTCGCTTCAAGTCATATTTGCTTTTCATCACATTGAAATCAGTTTCAGATGGCTTTAATAAATCATGCCTTCGATTATATTTTAAAACATACTATCTCTTGTAACATCTTAAAGTGTCTTTGTTAATCACTATAGTATTCAGTTACTGGTTTCAATCGCGCTAGCTTTATTTGTGAAGTATACTTTAGTGTAGCATATGACATGGCTTGCGTTTTTCTGTCTTTGAAGAAAAGAAAATGACATAGTACATGTACTTTAACTGAGTTATTAGTCTAAACCAAAACTGGACATGTACCTTAATTGAGCTAGTAGTCTAAAAAGGAACATGACATGTAACAGATTGTAGTTCTTTTTCATGAAACATTTCGTCCAATAAGCAGAATTCCCACAACGCTTGAAATGTACAAAGTATTGTTAACCCACCAAACACAGAGTGGGAAAAATCAAATCATATAAATTATTAATAATTACATGAATTTGATTTAGAAACCTTTGTTTTAAAGATATGATTATCATAAGTTTGATGAAGCAGAAGGTTTCTTTCATAGATTTGTGTTTACCTAAAATTTTTAGATGAGGTTTTAAAAGTCGACTTGCGTAAGGTTTGTAGTTTGAAACCATGTCCCCTCAATTATAACCTTGATTTAACCTAATTCAGGAGGGTTGTTTGTAATGTGGTAATATGCACGTCAGGAACTTGTAATTAACACCTTTTGGTGGAAAACTGAAGTGGACTCAATAATTCCAAAAATCACATTCAGAATAGCAACAAAATATCATCGCTTTTTCATCTTTTTGGCATTTTTAAAAGATAACCATGCATTACAGTATTTGCCAAAAAATTGTCTTATAACAGCAATATATTAAATGGCAGTTTTTTCATGTAAAACAAAATGCTATTTTTGATATGACCTGTAACTTAGAGAGATAGACGAAGCACCCCCCACCCCACCCTCTCTTGCTTTGCACTCGGCAATCAAACCAGCTTTAATTACTCACATGACCAAAACAATATCCACCTCCCTGGAACTGCCACTAGAGCAGTGCTAGAGAACTGTAGTTATAGTCTCATCCCAAAAGCATGTACCTCTAATTGTCTCCAACTGAAGAACTAACGCTAAGAATGCTTTATATAAAAATTGATTATACCTTGCTTAAACATCAAGTTTTGATATATCATTTATGGTTTTTCATGACTGATTGTTGCAATAAAATCACCAAAATGAAAAAAAAATGATTATAAATCAAATTCATATCAAATTTTATCCAAACCTGTATAGATATTGTGGATTATAATTCCGAATATTCTTGCATTTCATTTTAGGCTCATTAACAAGCTTTTACAAAAAGATGGAAGACCCCCAGTACAATTCCAGAAGAAAGTGATGTCACCTTTCGTAGCCATGACAAATATCGAAAACTTTAACAAAGGCTGCCTGGACTATGGGCTTGCTAAAGAATTTGAATTCCAGAGTGGAGATCTGTGGGAAGTTAGGAAAGGCCCCTTCCTTAACGTCATCAACTGTATTCACAGTCTGGGCTTTGTTGTGAGTATAACTTCCTAGAGTCTGATGGTGTTCTAATTATTGTCAAGTCTTTCTTCAGGCGCGGATCCAGAATTTTTTCAAAGGGGGGGTTGAAGTATTTTTCAAAAGGGGGGTTGAAGGCGAAAACAATTAAAACGTACGTTGTACACATACATATAGTTAAATAACTCATTATTATGCTTCCTGTCAGTTTGTCTCTATATAACCCATACCCTACTATTCTCGCATAGTGGTCTAAGGATTTATATAGCGTAAGCATACTATGCCGAAATAGTGCACGGCTTTATTTACTGAATAAAATTCTTCCATGCACATGCCGGGGATTGAACTCACGGCCATGAGATTGTCAGTCCGATGCCTTATCGATTACGCCATAGAGACGATCACCTATTGGTATAATTTTATTAAATATATAAACTTAATTTATACAATTGACTCAAGAAGGAGAAAATAGACAAATATTATTTGAAAACAGTTATATTATTCTAAGGAACTTTAGATTAATGTGTACAACAAACTTTCAAACTAATTACATACAGATCGTTAGATGAACTGATTTTATAGGGTCATTAAAACGCTTTTTTATATGACGCTTGATTGAAGGATGTAAAAGAAAACTAGAGGTACTGTGAGCAATGAGCTCACTAAATGATACCCCCCGCCTCCCATATGGTTATAACTGGTGAAAAAGTCCATGGTTTCCTGTGGCCGGGAAACCCAGAATATGTGTCGGATCAAAAAGTAAAATAGGAGGTGCACAATGGCAATATGTAATAAAGATTCTGTGAAAGTTGCATCAATTTTCATTCAGTGGTATGAGAGGAGTTGCGGATAAGAGATGGGTACCCCAAAGCGTAACAGACGGACGGACGGACAGACGTACAGACGGACGGAATTAACGAATAGTATATACCCTCCCGCTTTTCAAGCGGGGGGTATAACTAGAGGTACTGTGAGCAATGAGCTCACTAAATGATACCCCCCGCCTCCCATATGATTATAACTGATGACAAAGTCTACGTTTTACTGTGGCCGGGAAACCCAAAATGTGTGTCGGATTAAAAAGTAAAATAGGAGGTGCACAATGGCAATATATAATAAAGATTCTGTGAAAGTTTCATTAAATTTCACTCATTGGTATAAGAGGAGTTGCGGATAAGAGATGGGTACCCTAAAACGTAACAGACGGACGGACGGACGGACGGACGGACGGAAATCCCGATTACTATATACCCTCCCACTTTTCAAGCGGGGGGTATAATTATCAATGAGAATCGACGTCTGCAAACAAATAAGGCTTACGAACAAAACAGAAAATAAAGATGTGTTGCTTTGGGACAGAAAATCCCGACTTATTTAGAGAAAATTCTAGTAACCAAAATAACTAAGCATGCAAACAATTTTAGCATGAATATTTTGAATTAGTTCTTGCAGGTGCGCTGTTTAAGCACCGATATTTTCAGGAAAAAGTCAAATAGATTGCCGCATAAATAATTACAACAGTCAGCATAATAATAACAATAGTGTTGCATTATGCATGTACTATGCCTAAATCATGTAAATAGTAGGCAGGGTTTGACACATAGTGCACTCGCCTCCGGCTCGTGCACCATGTGTCAAACCCTGCCTACTATTTAGGCATAGTACATGCATAATGCAACACTATTATATAAATAGAATATCGATACAGGGTGGAGTATGGTTTTTGAAAGTGGGACGTTGATCAATCTGGGTAAAAGTACTTGTATACATTACAAGTAAGTTTTTGAAAAAGAAAGGAAAATAAATCTCCGAACCTGAAAATCCTATTTTGTATAGGGATGGGGTTTTATTTTGTTTTTACAACCGAATTTCTTTATATATTACAACATTAGCCTTTCACCCTTCATTTTCTGTAGTAAAAACACAACAAAAAATTGGAACTTTCTTATTTCTCTTTCTTTTTTGCAAATCCAAAGGGGGGGGGGGGGTTGCAACCCCCGTAACCCCCCCCCCCCCTCTAGATCCACCACTGTTCTTGAACTTTCTTTAAAAGGTCGTGATAATTTATTTATTGTTCAGTATAAGTAAAAGGGCGCGTGTATTTAAGTTAGCAAGCAGATGTATGCGTAAACTAGAACAAAGTTTTACTCAGAACATTCATACGTACATTCATATGGTATGGCTATCGATTTTCTTTTCAAAGAAGTCCACGTGTTTTACCTAGTATAGGCAGTTATATAGTTTCAGCCATACTATAAAAACAATATCCTGTAGAGTAGATTTTAGTGTTGAAAAAAATCGCATACAAAGACTTTTTCTTTTCCATTTTACAGGCCAATTCCAAAAAGGTGATGCCATGTTACCAAGGTGAAGTCACAAAGTACCTTGACAGGGATTAAAGCTGCAGCCAATCACATCAGCCGTAACAAACTAGTGATATATCACATGGTCATTGTTGTTAATTCATTTTTTTATTGGTTTATGATTTTTGTATGCCGAGATGCTGAAATAGTGACGTTTACATTGGTGCATAATTATTCAAAGCAACAAGTATAGGATTATTAAGTAAATTTATATTAGAAGCGCCATGTATTTAACTTATCTTAACTAGGGACAAATCTTTTCTTTTTTGTATACTTATGGGAGTATTTTATCTATTATCAATTGTACTATGAATTTATTTTAATAGGAAAGAAACTTTTGTATATTCTGATTAATGTTACATGTCATATTTATGAATGTGAATGCTTAATAAATTATATGAAACTAGTTGTTGTTTTTAGTCTCCTATTACTACATGTTTCCCCTCTGTTGATCAGTCACCTACAACTAAACATGTAGGTTTCCCTTCCGTCCATCAGAGTCATAGTCCCCTATACTACTAAAGGTTTCCCCTCTCTCGGAGTCATAGTCCCTTACTAGTATAGGTTTCCCCTCTGTCAGTCAGAGTCATAATCCCCTACGACTACAGGTTTCCCCTCTGTCGGTTAGTCATAGTCCCCTATACTACTATAGGTTCCCCTAGCTCTCTCCGAGTCATAGTCCCCTACTATTAAAGGTTTCCCCTCTCTTGGAGTCATACTCCCCTACTAGTATAGGTTTCCCCTCTCTCGGAGTACCCTACAACTATAGGTTTCCCCTAGCTCTCTCGGAGTCATAGTCCCCTACTGGTATAGGTTTCCCCTTTGTCGGTCAGTCATAGTCCCCTACTACTATAGGTTTCCCCTCTGTCGATTAGTCATAGTCCCCTACTAGTATAGGTTTCCCTTCCGTTCCTTCAGATTCATAGTCCCCTATCACTATAGGTTTAATTTATAGCTGTCGGTTAGTCATAGTCCCCTACTACTATGTACAGATTTCCCCTCTGTCGATTAGTCATAGTCCCCTACTAGTATTGATTTCCCGCCCGTCCCTCAGATTCATAGTCCCCTATATTACTATAGCTTTCCCCTCTGTCGGTCAGATTCATAGTCCCCTACTACTATAGATTTATATCTGTCGCTTGGTCATAGTCCCCTATATACTACTAAAGGTTTCCCCTCTGTCGGTCAGTCATAGTCCCTTACTAATATAGGTTTATATCTGTCGGTTAGTCATAGTCCCTTACTCCTATAGGTTTCCCCTCTCTCGGAGGCATAGTCCCCTACTATTATAGCTTTCTCCTCTGTCGGTCAGAGTCATAATCCCCAGCTACTGTAGCTTTCCCCTCTGTCGGTCAAATCCATAGTCCCTTACTACTATAGGTTTATATCTGTCGGTTAGTCATAGTCCCCTTACTATGTACAGATCTCCTCTGTCGGTCAGAGTTGCAGATCGATGTTTCATACTATACATATGCTATAGTAGAGGACAAGCATCGCCTTTTCAATTCACTTCTCTCAGAATCCGTGTTCTACCTGCTTATCAGATAATTACAAGCAATGTTTATGGATTTACATAGTAATATATTGGAAATACCTTTAAAATGTTCTTAATGTTCAAATCATGACCTCCGTGGTTAAGGCGATGCCACAGCAGGGAGTAATAGTATGTAGGAAGAATCTTTTTCTCAAGAATAGCAAAGCCATGTTTAGTCAAACTAACGGAGAACCATCTTCAGTTAGTGTAGATTGAAGTTTGTTCAAATCATGACCTCATTGATGAGTTGAGGGCCATGCCAGAAGAACAAAGTTTTTCATAGGAATATCTAGGAAATATCTGTTACATAGATTGATGTTCGTTCAGGCCAGAAATTGGGAGACAAAGAAGGACGAAACATCAGGTGGGTGCTGTGGCCCACTGGCCTCTGTTTATGTTATGTATTCTTAAAGTTGAACACGACTCGTAAATAAATGTATGCCATATTATTTTTTCTATCTCCGAAATATTAGCTCTGGGGTATACCTTTCTCATTTGTTTCACCTGGCTGCATTCTTAACACACACATGTATTTGTGTTATGTTTACTACTTTGAACTGTGCAATTGTTGTAGGTTTCTTAAGTAATTTTTTCTCTAGTCGTGGAAAAAGCACATAGGCCTAGTTATTTTGTTGCTACCAAGTGTTTTACCATGTAGAATAGGATGGGAATTAGATTTCCTCTGCGACTGTCTGTCTCTCCGTCTGTCCATTAGTCTGTCCCACATGGTTTTCGGCACTTTTCTCTGAACACTTGCAGATATTGAGCTTATAATTTGATATGTGAATGTATTTTGATGCGGTACACATTCACTTTGAATTCGTTCCGCTTCAATGAGTTTTGACGGAATTATGGCATTTTCAATGTTAATGGGAACCAGATTACACTTGCCGGAAGGGGACTAGTACTGCTCTCAGAATACGTTCTATTTCTGTCTTTGAATGCCAGTTTTCCTTGGTGGAAATAGCAGGTATCAAATCTGAAAATGAAAAACATGTAAATATTTAACTTAATTTCTAAATCTTTATATACATTCCTTTAGTATTCAAAATATTTTTTTAGTGAAAAGAGAGTCCTAACGCTAAGTATTTCTAGAGAATCAAACTTCTACTACCGCTCAACCAATTTTATCAGTAGGACAAATACTTCTCTGACAAAGAGCTACAGATTTTTCTTAAAAGAGAAATTCTGTGCGAAAAGAGATTTCTGTTTTGCAGAGTAACCTCTTACCATCAAAAAGATATACTTTGTTTATATAAGAAGAGATTTTTCTATTGGAAAGAGAAAGATTTGCTTCCTAACAAAGATACAGCCTACTCCGGATATATTGAAATTCAGGGGACCAGGCAAATTATTTCAATATATCCGTAATTCAATATAAGCGAAATCGTGAAGCTGCCATTTTTACAAGTTCAATCCCGATCTAAAATAAAAAAGAACAAACCCGAACAAATTAATTTTGTTCTCATTTATCTATAATAAGCATGATAACAGTGAACAGATTACATAGAATATGAGTCCTTGAAAGTTTAAATTTTTTTTTTATTTCTGTTACATTGAAAAGACAATCTTCAGCCTCATTATTTTCCCCGATCGCATTTATTTGCGTTTTGGAGAAAATTCACCACTGACACCAGACTAAAACGGTTGAGTTCTGCTGAACGCTGCTTGTATTTCATCGTAAGTGTACTCGGGTTATTCCCTTAGTTATTTCGAATTTAGGCATGTCAATAGCCATTAACAGCACGCATTTAATTTCAAAGTTTTTTTTTCTAGATCTGTGGGGGCTACAATTATAATATTACGTAAACTGTTTAGTCTTGATATGTCCGTATTATATACATGGATGCAAAGAATTTAACAGTGAAGAATTTTATTTTGTAAGAACATGCAGTATAAAAACACATGAGGTGAAAACTTAATTATTCACACCTTTGAATATCACCTGGTCAATCAGGCATAATTACTGTCACCAACCGTAACGACAGCCGCCAGGGAGTATTTCAATATAACCGTTATGAAAACAACTTATTATCACCTGTGGGGACCGATCAGTGGCTTCAATATAAGCGAAATTTCAATATATCCGATTTCAATATAACCGTTATTTTAATGCAAAGAATATGAGAGGCAAAAACTGGGGATTTATTTCTTTTTCAAAATAAGCGGAATTTCAAAATAAGCGAGTTCAATATAAGTGGAGTAAGCTGTATATTTAGTTTGTAGTAAAATAATTTATGAACGATCTTGGAGTGGTGGTGGGTCTGTCAACAAGCACACAAACACCTGTTTTTGTTGCTTTTTTTTTATGAGAATCGAGTTTAATTGGCATTCTGGGAGCATTGCATCAGCAATACTAGTCCCCCTACCGGCAGGGTGTAATCTGGTTCCTCTAAATATTGAAAATTCTACAATTCCATAAAAAAAAGTGGAGCGGAACGAAAATCAAACTTGAGCTATAACTGATGAGGGTGAATTTCCATACCAGAAGGCAGATCAATATCCTCAAGTGTTTAGAAAAAAGGCTCGGAATACCAATTGGGACAGACTGACAGACAAAGGGACAGCTAGACGGACGGACAGACTCAGAGGAAAGCTAAAGTCCCCTTCCGCTTCCATCGGTAAGGGACTGAACACATAACAAACTGTAAACGATTTTATGTTTGTTAATCATTTTTTTCGACAACTATATCCGCAACATGACTTCACAAACACGGTGCACACTTTATTTTGAAAATATAGTTAAATGTTTTCATATACATGTAGAAGGCGATATGCTTATATATAAACAGTATAGTAGTTAACATTAGGAGCCGCAGTCAGTTGAGTGGGGTCAGTCTCGGCTCTTGCGTCATTGATGGTGCATCGTCTGTTCGTGGCGTCATGATTGAGGGATCTACATCTGATGTTCATCTGACAAGCAAAGGCGCAGCGTATGAAGCTTAAGTTTTCCAGCACAACAACTTCGTGTCCGGAAAAAGTTTTACCGACGTGGATTTGATCAAAGTAGGAGGACAGATATTCTGTGAACATTGAAATAAGGAAACAAATACATGTGAAATCCTATAACTTTCAAGAAAAGACATTCTTATTTTAAAAGCAAGATTATAATGGTACTGAATTTCCATTTACTTAGAAATCACTCTAATAAAACGTTCAAATCATTTACATAACCTTTGAAATTGTAATTAAATGATGCTAAAGTTCCACAGTAACATCAGCATGTTTGTAATCATTCAAGAACCAGTTGTTCGAAATTCCATGGGTACATATTATGCTCCTATATTAGAAGATTTTAAAAATATTTTTACAATACAAAAATGAGATTTTATTTTTAAAAAATATCTTGAGCCGGAGTATCGAAATGAATGGTCAGATTCAGCGCGCATCCAGGAAACGTTAATTACTCTTACCTCGCTGTATCATCCTTGAACAAAGTGCTTGTTTAGGAAAAATGCATGTTGTTTCCCGCCATTTAAAGTAGACAGCGCTATTGACGTCATAGTAAAGCATGACACAGTGCCAATCCGGACGTCCAGGGGGTGTATACACGGTGGAGTCCCAGTTAAAGTAGTACTGTTTCTCCCCATTGTATTCACGATAGTCCCCACTGACGTCAGCGTCCTGGACACCGATGTAAAGGGTCGCCAAAGTCGCCCTGTAAGAGCAGCAAAGTCGTGACAAAACAGGTGCGCGTTTGTGTATGTGTGCATATGTGTGTGATAGAGTTCACGACTATCAATGTACGTACAATGTCTGGTTAAACGTTTTATCCACAAAAGCCTGGGCCTCTGGACTATTTATCCAGGCCAGCGTGCCGCCATCTTGTCCACACAATTGGTTACTCTGCTCGCTGCTCTGCATTGATGTTATCACCCAATAACAGTAGTCATAAAGGCCCGTCAGAGGACGGAAAATGCCACTACATATCGCCGAGTTCATCACTGAAATTATTGAGAATAAATAAACACATTCAATTTCTAAATATATGTATTACGTAACAAAGGGGCAGCACAAATTTTATTGTTGATTAATAAATTCTATATAGCAAGTTTTATATGAGTGTCCTTTGTCCTTAAGCTGCTGTGAGCCTGAAGAGCCTTTTGTACCGCCTCACATCACAATCTTGTGAAAGCGTAGTATAAGTACTAGTAACTTTAATGTTTAGCGAATTGCTACCGGAAGCTTTGACTTCCAGGGACATTTTGTCTAATCGTCGACATGGTATCCATGGGCAGCATGTTATACGTCACTCAAGATGTCCCAGACACCCAGAGAGGGAGGAAGGAGCTTTCCTAAGGGAAGGTGACAGTTAATTATTTAATTGCATACTGCCTAGCTAATTTATAGCTAGCTTTTCTAAAACTGCGACAAACTTGCGATTTCAGGCAAGCTAAGCTGCAGTGAGCCGGGATGACTGTGACCGCTTTATGTTATCCTACAAAGGTTTTGTTTTTGGAGCATTAATTCATAGAACCACTTAAAATGTTTTGGAATATGGAAACAATTTCAAAATTAACGTTTACACTTCGTAATGAAAAAAAAATCTGTTTTTACATGATAATTCGTAACATCTACGTTATAAATTGTTTTATTTAGAGGTCCTTAATGTTGATTTTGATTTAACAATATAATTTTCGTTTTTAGAATTCGCTTAAATCAAAAAATTTATTATATTTTTTTGATATTTATTTTAACAAATACATGTTATAATAATTATAGTTCGATCGTCTGAATGAATTCAAAAATCGATATCGAACACTAAATTCGTTTTACAAATTCAACAATTTATTACAGTGTATATCGAATTCAAAAATAGTTTTTACAGGTCCTGAACCAATAAGTAGTAGCTCGCAAAAATAAGTTGTTTGCAAAAATGCATGTATATATTTATATTATAAAAATATATGACATATAGTATTTAAAGATTCTTTTTTCGGAATCTGTAGTAATTGTTGAAGATATTCCTCATATGTTCGAGACCAAAGTATGTTTCTTTGAACAATCGCCGTCAAACAAGTTCAACGTTATGTCCAAGTATGTGGTCACATCGTTTGTTTTTATCAGCCAATCGATATTTCATTTCTTAAATTAAAGAAGAAAATATTAAATCTTACCTTCAATTCGAGTGCCATAAAAAAAGACCAAGGCAAACAACAGAGCAATTTTTGTCATTTTCACAAATATATTTCAATTTTTGAAATCTATGTATACAGCAATCTAATCAAAGTATAAAAAAAAATCAATGTTGACAAAAATATCTTCATTTAATCACAAGTTGGTTAATCCTGTTTATTTCACTTCACATGGCGCATTTTTCCTCTTCACGAGCCAATGAAATTTTAACACAGACTTGAACATCTTTATTATAGATTAATATTTTTCTGACTTATCTAGAATCCTTACTTATCTGATATGCTAACAAGTTCTGAGCATATATCCGCAGAAACAAAGTTGTCTTCGACATTATCAAGAAGAGCTTTTATTTTCCATAGTGTGTTATAAAAAAAACACATTATTTTCGGATTAATTGTTAGAATGATTATAAAACCCTTTCCAAGTTTTATACCAAATTAATTAAATCTTTGGAAGTAAAAAGTCGTGTTTCTTGTTTTTGAACACCTAAGTATAAGTGGTGGTTTCCACCTGAATAACTTTATTGATATTATGAGTGATGGTGCATTCTCCAGAATCAACTTGCTTCATTATATCATGTAGACTCACTCAAATAATCACAGGCCGGAGAACCAGTGAACTGATCATGCACGAAATTTCATTAGCTATTTTCGTTAATTCATGGGAGTCAAAAAGTAGAAAGATTCATGATCAGGACTGAGAAAAACACACCTTTGCCGTGGATAGCTGCAGAACTGTAGTGTTATCAGTTATATCTTTTTCTGAAATATAAAACCATACCGCTACAGTTCTGCAGTTAGTGGTGTAAATTGCTACATAGTTTTAGTATTTTACTTTAATGTTACAATACGTTTCCTATTATAATTTCTAACAGGTTAAAATTTTTCATCCCATCAAACCCCCGTCTGCTGTCTGGGTATCAAGGCGACAGCTGAAGTCCTATAGTTAGTATAATTATAGTTCTAGTAACAAATAACTGGCATCAAAAGGCAATACTGGTCCCCAAATTCTGAAAATCAGCAGTTAGTAAAATGTATCTGCCCCCCCCCCCCCCCCCCCCGGCATTCATTGTGATAGGTATCCAGGCACTCAGTTAAAAATGCATGTGTAAGTTCACTTGAGTCGAAGACCATTTTTTGTTTGAATAATAGTTTATTCAGTCTGGCAATAAAGCCCATCCGTTTACAAAATAGTATAGTATAACAAATATATATATAATACAACATATGAATAACCAACTTTAATTGGAATTTCTGGACACAGATTTGATGTTAATATTTGTTTTAACACAGAATAATAATAAAAATAATTTTTTTCAAAGTGCGTTGAAATCGACCATATTGCATCTTCGCTAGCCAAGGGTTTCTGATACGCTACTCTCCTCATAAACCCTTGGCATACGGTGAAGTCAAAAGACGGGATTGTTTTCCGTCACGTGATCTTGAATCTATAAGGTACGCACAGATTGTCGAATCGCCAGAAATAAAGACACGTGTTTAAAAAAATTAAATCAAAGTTTTTTCAAGAATAATTAAGAAGCAATAATTGATATATATATATATTATATATATATATATATATATATATATATATATATATATATAATCATATATTTAGAAGATATTGGATGACACCATGGCTATTCATAGAATTGAATGTTATCTTACGGATCGTATGTTTATATGCGTTTTTCATTCCCGAAATTAAAGAGTGAAAATGTATTTTGAACGCAAATATCGTCATTTACAAAAAGCAATTGCTGATTGGTCGACCTGGGTGTACTGAAATCCAATCAGAACTCTGGAAAAAAATCCCGATTTCTATGAACACCGTAGGCCAAGGGTTTATGATGAGGAGAGGGCGTATCAGAAACCCTTGGCTAGTGAAGATGACCATATTGACGCACTTTGAAAAAAAAATGTAGATTGATCAATATTCTTACAAATAATCGGTATGATAAATAACAGATCCTGGATGTATGACTTTTTTATGATGAAGTCACTTCAGGAACTGAGAAGTTGACGTTTTAAATATTTGAGGTTTTGATAAAATAAAAGGGAAAAGGGTCTTGAAAAAAAGAGTGACGATTGTTTAAGATCATTAATTTTTTTTTCTTTAAATTCTAGTCTTTGATAAGTATATGTAAAGATGTAAAGGGGGCACTAACAGTGGACAGCTTAAAGCAACTTAGCATTTATCATGATAGAAAGGGGGCAATTTGATTGTTCAAAACAATGAAAATTCTTTCTCTCTCATACGTTTTACTGTACTTCAATATTTCTAGTTTTCACCTGTTTTAATTAACTCATTTAATATTGAAAGTTTTCAACGTCATACCAGTTAGGTAAATACATAATTATATAAATGTTTTGAGTATAGCATAGACATCGAGACCGGGCAATGGGCCAGGGGAGGAGGGACTTAGCCCCCCACTTATACTGGAAAAATATATATACATCGTATAAGCATTGAAAAAGCAGCTTACCCTTTTTGGGTTTATTGCTCCCCTCCCCCGTTTGTTACCGACACCTATGTATTCAAAAGATAAAGATTTGGACTGAGGGATCTTATACCTGTCTTCTCCTTTTTTCATTAATCAATTCATAAGTTTTTTGAAAGATAAATAACAAATAAAATCTTTCCATTACTGAAATATGATTTAATTTTTTTTCCAAAGTGCGTTAAGTGTCTTCATGGTAAAATATATTGATGTAGACTCTTAACGCACTTTGAAAAAATTTTTTCAAAGTGCGTTGAGTTGGTCCCAAACTTAACGCACTTTGAAAAAATTTTTCAAAGTGCGTTGATTTTGTCCCAGTTTTAACGCACTTTGAAAATTTTTTTCAAAGTGCGTTGCCACAGTGGTGTGTGCAGGTTAAACAAACTGAACACATCCGCGAAACGTAAACATTACCAATAACAGAAGCTCGCTCCCTGTTTACAAAAGCATTTACGATTCGCCGGACGTGTTAAATGTTAATTATATCAGAGACATAACATGTCTCTGATATTATTATACCCCCCGCTTGAAAAGTGGGAGGGTATATAGTAATCGGGATTTCCGTCCGTCTGTCCGTCCGTCCGTCTGTTACGTTTATCTCTTATTCCTCTTATACTACTGAGTGAAATTTAATGAAACTTTCACAGAATCTTTATTACATATTGCCATTGTGCACCTCCTATTTTACCATTTTATTCGACACGTATTTTAGGTTTCCCATAGCAAAACATGGACATTGCCATTATATGTTTACCTATGACGTTACATATAGAAGCTTCTGGATAACATTTGATAGGACGATTTATTCATCTTTACAGATTACCGTAAAACAATATATACCAACACATGGACATTATGGGAGGCGGGGGTATCATTTAGTGAGCTCATTGCTCACAGTACCTCTAGTTTTTAATATTTTTCATTAACTCAATAAAATTTGTACTTTTCTTAAGTATAAAGGATAGAGTTAACTCTGTTAAGGTGCAATTTAAGGATGTGTAAATCAAACGCGTCACGATTTTGTGTAGTTTCAATAATTTCCAGATACAATAAGTTTTGAATTATATTTTCGTGTGAAATGCTGTGGCAAGATACAGTCATAATATTGTACAGAAAGTTTGAAAAATATATCTTCAAATCTGTGTCTTAGCACCTTTAAAGGGGCATGGACACAGTTTCAACTGAATTTTTAAAACAAGTTTTAATAATTTTTACAATGTCTACCTAAAGCATCATCTAATGTTTAGCAAAAAAAAAAAAAAAAGAACATCATTTGTTGATTATCTAAAGAGATACAGAGCTTAAAGTCCCTCATAATGTAAACTAGAGGTACTGTGAGCGATGAGCTCACTAAATGATACCCCCCGCCTCCCATATGGTTTTAACTGGTGAAAAAGTCCATGTTTTCCTGTGGCCGGGAAACCCAAAATATGTGTTTCAAAAAGTAAAATAGGAGGTGCACAATGGCAATATGTAATAAAGATTCTGTGAAAGTTTCATCAAATTTCATTCAGTGGTATGAGAGGAGTTGCGGATAAGAGATGGGTACCCCAAAGCGTAACAGACGGACGGACGGACGGACGGAAATACCGATTACTATATACCCTCCCGCTTTTCAAGCGGGGGGTATAACAAGGCTCGTGCCTTGTTTTTTGTTTACAAATAGAAAATATCATATTTATAACAAAATTAACTTCTTTATTGAAATTATCTACTTTGAACGAACATATATTAGTATATTAATTTATGTAAACAAAAACATGACATGGACCTTGTTTACATAACAAAAGTTTGGAGCTCTAAATCTGTCTTGTATCTCAACAACTGACGTTCAAATTTTTGATGATCTTTAGAAAGACCCTAGTTAAATATTTGTAAAAATGGAAATATAAATTTTGAAAATTTTAGCTGAAACTGTGTCCATGCCCCTTTAATCTACAACGTTAACTTTAGTTTAGTGCACAGGTGAGCTAAAAACTTTATTTTCTAATTTAGCTCGGGATCGAGAAACAACGAAAAAACATGGCCATCGGCCGTGTGAGAAATTGGCTTGTCAACTTTGCAACAAAGGTAAACATGGTAAAGATGTAATGAAATAAAATCGCTGTGGTGTATTCATTTATTGTTACTTGTTCATTAGGTTCATGATATTGTACCTTTTACTTCCATGCAATTCTTATAATTCGTCGGTCTTGTTGGAGGACCCAGTGTTTACAAAACAAAGTAGAGTCTGACATTTCACTTTTCAAAGACTTTTTATGTCGGAACGTGAGTGAGTAAGAGAAAAAACAAAAATATTCAATTCCAAATTACGTCTTTCTGCTTTCAATTCATACAAAACACGATCTATCGATGCTTTGAGTACGTGCCATTGTCCTTGACCGAATTTTCTCTAGTCAATAATTTCTTAGTTACAAAACGTTGAACACGCGGCTTTATCATTTTTTTTTGGGGGGGGGTGGTGGCGTAAGTGTTTAACAAACATCTATTGTACACCTGTGTAATGGTGCATATATTTGTGAGTAATGGTCAGCTTTACTGTTTGAAATGAAGAAAGATTTAGAAACATTAAGAATACCTCTGTCTTAGTTTAATTTTGTAAAATACTGTATGACTTTTGTTTTCTTACAGCCATTTGTCCAGATATGTACAGAACAAGAGTTACTGGCCAATCAGAGTAAACAATGGAATCAGATAAGGACAAAGATGGTGGACCATAAAATGACTCGAGATAACAAACGGAGAAAAATACTTCAGGAACATGGCCCCGAGAGATTCCGTGTAAATATGGTCCGAAAAAGCAAACTTATACCAAGAGAAATAAAAGTAAGAGTGTTAATATTTTATCAAAATTAAGTTAATAACAATTAAATTGTATACATATTGTTATAAATATTGAAAAAATAAAAGATTGAAACTCATCTCTATTCACAAGATTTTTTTCAAATATACTGTCCTTCAAATCAAGATTTCTTGTTCCTTTGCAGGAGCTTGCTGATAAGGAAATTAAACAGTTTCCACTTAACAGTGCCTACACTAGAATCCATAATAGATGTATATTGACTTCACGTCCTCGTGCTGTGCTGAAAAGATGGCATGTCAGTCGAATCATGTTTCGCCATCTTGCCGATTATAATAAACTCTCAGGATTTACACGATCATCGTGGTGATATAGAACTCATATTAATGATTGTGAATTATTACTCAGTTTGTTAAATAACAAATATACATTATAAACAAAATATCATTTGAAATTAGTTTGTTGTTTATAATTATTTGTTTGATCTTTCTAAATCTCTGAAATGTTATAGATGTTGTAGGTCATGTAATCATTCTTAAAGTAATGACCAACTTCTTACTTTGCGTCTGATCTAGAGTCGCGGGGTAAGGAGTTGATCCTTACGTTGCGGGTTCAAATCCAACTGTGGGACATGGATACCTGTTCTTTGGATGAGACTGTGTAAACCAAGGTCCCATGTCGCAGTAGTTACTGGCACAAAAAAGATCCCTCCCTGCTCAATGGCCCTGAGTGCAGAGCATTGGACAAAATTTGCAGCTCTCCACCAGCAAGTGGTGGCGTCTCCATGAGTGAAAAATTCTCAAGAGGGATGTTAAACAGCATACAATCAATCAACCATTGATAGTTCATTAAAGCAAATTTAAATGAGGAGACAAATACTGCATACAGGTACTTACAGTCTGTACAAGGCATGGTACCAGACATGCCTCTCTACTTGTATTCATGTATCAAGAGTTAGACAGATTTTGAATTACACTCGCACAACATTTGTGGCTACTGAATTAGTTACTCTTGAGTCCAAGTATATAAGAGTAAATGGAAGCAACATATCTAACATTAAATGACTACAGTTTATCAGACTCCAGCTGTGATACTAGTAGTCAGAGATGCTCAGATAGCTTGGCAACACCACTCCAGAGTGAAAAGGTGCTAAGAAATCAAATTAAAACCTTGTGGATGTTCATTGATTTATTTAAAGACTTGAATGACCATAATACAAAAATAAGCCTTGATCGGTGTCCACGTTTGAAATTATAAAAACACCGGTACTTGTTTTACAACAGTATTTCAGTAAATAAGTTTTTAAAATCATGATCATACTTCATTTGATCACATAAAGAATACAAAAAAAATTATCTGATATCACAATACTGAATTTAAAGTTATTTTTCTCATGTTTTACAAGGTAAAAATTGCCAAAAATTATGCTAGGAAGAAAATATGTGTAAATAAAAAAATAAATTACTTTTCTGAATTGAAATAAAGACATACTCAATCCTCATTATATTGTAGGTTTCATTGTACCACATCATTAAGAAATACCAGTTCAATGTACACAGGGCTTTATTTAACCTTTATATTTCTAACACTGTATTTCACTTGATGTTAAATCCACAACATTTAGCACAAAGTTCCAGTGCATCATTGACTAAATTATATTTCATGATTGATCAAAGAAGAAAATTTTCAGTGGATATAAATATAAGACAATACAATCTTGAATATAAAATGAGATCGTGGTCTCAACCCTGAATATAGAACATGGAACAATATCACATCACAGAAGGCTTCACATATCCCAGAATTGCCAAGAAAATTTCATTTCATGGATCTAAACACACTTGGATAGTGCTCAAAGAATGCCTGCAATAGAATAAAAAAAATAGACATGTCTAAATTGACAATGGGTGTAATTAAACTTATTTTCTGTGGGTGCACATAAAATTTGAATTTCCTGTCAACTGATCAATAGCTAGCAAAGGTTTAATTTGGACTGCCAACTAAATTTGTTTTCCTTTATAACTTGCAAAACAAACCGGAATCAATGTTGTAAATTTAGTTTACATTTTTTGGCATATTCTTAATTTCTGCATTCATCATTATCTGTGGGAGCCAATTTTTGGGGATTGAAAATTTTGTCAATATTCAAGCTTGAAAGTTATTTAATAATATAATATAAGACCAAAAAGAGAGAGAGAAAAAAAAACTGGTAATCAGAGAACACACGACAACAGGTAACACAACGGTAATGCCACATGCAAATGATGTCTTTTCAGAAGTTTCTAAGTAAGGCAAAGAACCAGAATAAACTTGACGTCAAAATTCGTCCGATAGCTTTGAAAACAACAAAATGCAAAACTTATGCAATTTGATGATAAAGGACTCGTAGAGTATCAAATAAACAATAAAGAGGTCAGTAAAATCTTTTTCGAAGTAGCGGTAAACTTCAAACCAGTTTGTATTGCACATTTTAAATCTAGAAGACATGTATAATAAAATCAAATCCAGCATCTGGAGAAAGTTTGAAATTGACATCCCTTGAAAACCATTGTCAACCTGCAAGGGTTGATATAGGCCTTGTAGTTTCTTAATGATATACCTGCAGCCTTATATAATTTAATTAAGACCTGAGAGAAGAAAAAAAACAGGTAATCAGAGATTAGAGCTCACCTCAACAAATGTTGTCTTTAAAAAGTTTACGTAAGGCAAAGTCCCACAATTAAGTAACATTCTAGATGTTTACACCCCAAAATGCAAAATTAATGCAATTTGATCTGATAAGGCCTGCAGTTACTTGGGAATAGACCTATACAAAAACTTCAAACTAGTCACCCATCAAGAAAATGTAATTTAAATCCAGCATCTGAAGAAAGTTTGAGAGTGTTCATCCCTTGATGCATCATCCATGCAAGTTTGGTTGATATAGGCCTTGTAGTTTCTTAGTGATATACCTGCAACCTTACATGTAACATTTACCTGGTCCATTACCTGGAATATGTATGTTGGATCCAGCATCCAAAGCAAGTCCATAAGTGTGCTTCCATAGATGTTTCATCCATGCAAGTTTGTTCAACATAGGGCTCATGGTTATTTGGAAATATGTCCTGCATAAAAACTAACCTTTTCACTCATCCTGAAAATGTAGATCAGATTCAACATCTGAAACAAGTCTGGTAGTAAGCATCTTTATATGTTTCATCCATGCAAGTTTGGTCAACATAGGGTTCACAGTTACTTAGAAATGAGTCCTGCACCAAAAACTTTAACCCGTTTACTCATCTGAAAAATGTAGGTCAGATTCAGCATCCAAAGCAAACTTGGTTGTATACATCCATAGATGTATCATTCATGCAAGTTTGGTCAACATAGGGCTTATAGTTACTTGGAAATAAGACCTACACCAAAAACACTGCACCAAAAATGTTTACCTGCTCCAAAACATTGACCTGGCCATTCCTTTACTGAAATTGCAGCATCTGAAACCTTATCTGGTACAAGGAAACACACTAGAAGCATCTTCCATGAATGTTAACCATTTTAGGGTATAGAAGTACTTAAAAAGAAAACTCCGACAAAAAACTTAACCTGGAACGCCGACACCAACAGTATCAGCACATCTCTTTGACTTTATTGAGATGAGCTAAATATAATCAAGATTGTTGTACTATGGAGTATTTCTGCTGACCACTTAGTACCACACATTGAAATCCTTGAAGAATAAAGTGGTCATTTGGACTTTGCTAAATGTGTACACAAAAATCCTGTAACTGTACCTTGAACAGTTGACTGGTCTGTAGGACACTACTTGTACAGCACATTTCTCTGACTTTATTCTGAGTGAGTACAATGTAATCATGTGACTGTACCTTGAACAGCTGACTGGTCTGTAGGACACTGCTTGTACAGCACATTTCTCTGATGGAGTGCATGCTGAGCTGAGGAGCTCCCACATCAATGGTTGGCATTCCTAGCTTGGCAGACATGATAGGTCCAATAGTTGATCCACAGGCCGAGTCATTCCTCACTACTATTTCCTATAGAGTAAAACATAGCAAAGGTTTCATTTAAAACATAATCTTTCAGAATGTTTATATATTACAAGAAATGTTGCTTTCACTGAGACAATAAAAAGCTCATGTAAGGATTCTTAAAATTCCAAATTTCTGTAGACCTTTAACTAATAATGAAAATTTTTACAAGTGGGACACATTTGAGCTTCAGTATAAGTATTTTTCTTTTAATAAAGATTTGTCCCCATTGTCTGATTTCACAATACTTGTAGTGGACACTCTCCTAGCGGACCTAGCCTACCCATACCTGTAATGGACACTGTACTAGCCTAGCCATACCTGTAGTGAACACTGTCCTAGCCTAGCCATACCTGTAGTGGACACTATCCTAGCCTAGCCATACCTGTAGTGGACACTATCCTAGCCTAGCCATATCTGTAGTGGACACTGTCCTAGCCTAGCCATACCTGTAGTGGACACTGTCCTAGCCTAGCCATACCTGTAATGGACACTGTCCTAGCCTATAGCCAAACCTGTAGCAGACACTGTCCTAGCCTAGTGGCAGCCATACCTGTAGTGGACACTGTCCTAATCTATAGCCATAACTGCAGTGGACACTGCCCTAGCCTATAGCCATACCTGTAGTGGACACTGTCCTAGTCTATAGCCAAACCTGTAGCGGACACTGTTCTAGCCTATAGCCATACCTGTAGTGGACACTGCCCTAGCCTATAGCCATACCTGTAGTGGACACTGTCCTAGCCTATAGCCATACCTGTAGTGGACACTGCCCTAGCCTATAGCCATACCTGTAGTGGACACTGTCCTAGCCTATAGCCATACCTGTAGTGGACACTGCCCTAGCCTATAGCCATACCTGTAGTGGACACTATCCTAGCCTAGCCATACCTGTAGTGGACACTGTCCTAGCCTATAGCCATACCTGTAGTGGACACTGTCCTAGCCTATAGCCATACCTGTAGTGGACACTGTCCTAGCGTATAGCCATACCTGTAGTGGACACTGTCCTAGCCTATAGCCATACCTGTAGTGGACACTGTCCTAGCCTATAGCCATACCTGTAGTGGACACTGCCTTAGCCTAGCCATACCTGTAGTGGACACTGCCCTAGCCTATAGCTATGCCTGTAGTGGACGCTGTCCTAGCCTATAGCCATACCTGTAGTGGACACTGTCCTAGCCTATAGCCATACCTGTAGTGGACACTATCCTAGCCTATAGCCATACCTGTAGTGGACACTATCCTAGCCAATAGCCATACCTGTAGTGGACACTATCCTAGCCAATAGCCAAACCTGTAGTGGACACTGTCCTAGCCTATAGCCATACCTGTAGTGGACGCTGTACTAGCCTATAGCCATACCTGTAGTGGACACTGTCCTAGCCTATAGCCATACCTGTAGTGGACGCTGTACTAGCCTATAGCCATACCTGTAGTGGACACTATCCTAGCCAATAGCCATACCTGTAGTGGACACTATCCTAGCCAATAGCCATACCTGTATTGGACACTGCCCTAGCCTGGCCATACCTGTAGTAGACACTATCCTAGCCTAGCCATACCTGTATTGGACACTGCCCTAGCCTGGCCATGCCTGTAGTAGACACCATCCTAGCCTAGCCATACCTGTAGTGGACACTGTCCTATCCAATGGCCATACCTGGAGTGGACACTATCCTAGCCTAGCTATAGTGGATACTGTCCTAGCCATACCTGTAGTGAACACTGTCCTAGCCTATAGCCATACCTGTAGTGGACTTTCCTAGCCTAGCCATACCTGTAGTGGACACTGTCCTAGCCTATAGCCATACCTGTAGTGGACACTGTCCTAGCCTATAGCCATACCTGTAGTGGACACTGTCCTAGCCAATAGCCATACCTGTAGTGGACACTGTCCTAGTGTATAGCCATACCTGTAGTGGACACTGTCCTAGCCTATAGCCATACCTGTAGTGGACACTGTCCTAGTGTATAGCCATACCTGTAGTGGACACTGTCCTAGCATATAGCCATACCTGTAGTGGACACTGTCCTAGCCTAGCCATACCTGTAGTGGACACTGTCCTAGCGTATAGCCATACCTGTAGTGGACACTGTCCTAGCCTATAGCCATACCTGTAGTGGACACTGCCCTAGCCTATAGCCATACCTGTAGTGGACACTGCCCTAGCCTATAGCCATACCTGTAGTGGACACTATCCTAGCCTAGCCATACCTGTAGTGGACACTCTCCTAGCCTAGCAGCCATACCTGTAGTGGACACTGTACTAGCCTAGCCATACCTGTAGTGAACACTGTCCTAGCCTAGCCATACCTGTAGTGGACACTGTCCTAGCGTATAGCCATACCTGTAGTGGACACTGTCCTAGCCTATAGCCATACCTGTAGTGGACACTGTCCTAGCCTATAGCCATACCTGTAGTGGACACTGTCCTAGCCTATAGCCATACCTGTAGTGGACACTGTCCTAGCCAATAGCCATACCTGTAGTGGACACTGTCCTAGCCTACAGCCATACCTGTAGTGGACACTGTCTTAGCCTATAGCCATACCTGTAGTGGACACTGTCCTAGCCTATAGCCATACCTGTAGTGGACACTGTCCTAGCCTATAGCCATACCTGTAGTGGACACTGTCCTAGCCTATAGCCATACCTGTAGTGGACACTGTCCTAGCGTATAGCCATACCTGTAGTGGACACTGTCCTAGCCTATAGCCATACCTGTAGTGGACACTGTCCTAGCATATAGCCATACCTGTAGTGGACACTGTCCTAGCCTAGCCATACCTGTAGTGGACACTGTCCTAGCGTATAGCCATACCTGTAGTGGATACTGTCCTAGCGTATAGCCATACCTGTAGTGGACACTGTCCTAGCGTATAGCCATACCTGTAGTGGACACTGTCCTAGCCTATAGCCATACCTGTAGTGGACACTGTCCTAGCCTATAGCCATACCTGTAGTGGACACTGTCCTAGCCTATAGCCATACCTGTAGTGGACACTGTCCTAGCCTATAGCCATACCTGTAGTGGACACTGCCCTAGCCTATAGCCATACCTGTAGTGGACACTGTCCTAGCCTATAGCCATACCTGTAGTGGACACTGTCCTAGCCTATAGCCATACCTGTAGTGGACACTGTCCTAGCGTATAGCCATACCTGTAGTGGACACTGTCCTAGCCTATAGCCATACCTGTAGTGGACACTGTCCTAGCCTATAGCCATACCTGTAGTGGACACTGCCCTAGCCTATAGCCATACCTGTAGTGGACACTGTCCTAGCCAATAGCCATACCTGTAGTGGACACTGTACTAGCCTATAGCCATACCTGTAGTGGACACTGTCCTAGCCTAGCCATACCTGTAGTGGACACTGTCCTAGCGTATAGCCATACCTGTAGTGGACACTGTCCTAGCGTATAGCCATACCTGTAGTGGACACTCTCCTAGCCAATAGCCATACCTGTAGTGGACACTGTTCTAGCCTATAGCCATACCTGTAGTGGACACTGTCCTAGCCTATAGCCATACCTGTAGTGGACACTGCCCTAGCCTATAGCCATACCTGTAGTGGACACTGTCCTAGCCAATAGCCATACCTGTAGTGGACACTGTACTAGCCTATAGCCATACCTGTAGTGGACACTGTCCTAGCCTAGCCATACCTGTAGTGGACACTGTCCTAGCGTATAGCCATACCTGTAGTGGACACTGTCCTAGCGTATAGCCATACCTGTAGTGGACACTCTCCTAGCCAATAGCCATACCTGTAGTGGACACTGTTCTAGCCTATAGCCATACCTGTAGTGGACACTGCCCTAGCCTATAGCCATACCTGTAGTGGACACTGTCCTAGCGTATAGCCATACCTGTAGTGGACACTGTCCTAGTCTATAGCCATACCTGTAGTGGATACTGTCCTAGCGTATAGCCATACCTGTAGTGGACACTGTACTAGCCTATAGCCATACCTGTAGTGGACACTATCCTAGCCTAGCCATACCTGTAGTGGACACTGCCCTAGCCTAGCCATACCTGTAGTGGACACTATCCTAGCCTAGCCATACCTGTAGTGGACACTATCCTAGCCTAGCCATACCTGTAGTGGACACTGTACTAGCCTATAGCCATACCTGTAGTGGACACTGTACTAGCCTATAGCCATACCTGTAGTGGACACTATCCTAGCCTAGCCATACCTGTAGTGGACACTGTCCTAGCCTATAGCCATACCTGTAGTGGACACTGCCCTAGCCAATAGCCATACCTGTAGTGGACACTGTACTAGCCTATAGCCATACCTGTAGTGGACACTGTACTAGCCTAGCCATACCTGTAGTGGACACTGTCCTAGCCTAGCTATCTCCCTTAAGATGGAGGCAGTCATTGCTGTTGTGGCATATCTCTGGTTGGCATTGAACTTAATGGCAACTCCCTTCCAAAACACAAAAACAAAAATACATCCCAAATAAATTAGAATTATTCTGTTTTAACACATTTATACTTGAGCAGAATAAACTTACTTTGTGTAATCCAATCTTGTGATTGTCCTCATGTTTTTCCCTGAAAAAAAGGCAAGCAAATATATAAGAAAAAGTTTGATGAACATCATCAAACATATTTATGTAAAAAAGGGATTTATAACCTTCATCAACACCTGAGTGGCACAAGTATTTCACATCCTTTATTACACTGACCACATTAACAACATATTATACAATTATTGCTGTTTTTGAGTCATTAGGATGATTTAGCCACCTGAGGAGTACAATATTCATGGAGCATGAAGGGCTTAAACAGGTATTATGAAATTGAGTCTCTATTTCCATTTCCTCATCAAATTTGTACTCCCAATACAGTTGAACGAAGTTGCATTGTCATTAAAAAGAAGAAAAAGAAATAACCAAAAGTTAAGAAAACATAAGAAGCCAAACGTACGGGTAGTTAGGGTGAACTGCATGAGCTTGGTCTGCACTGACCATGTAGGACTTGGGAATGGACTCCTCAAAAGCAGTGCTTGTCCCTCCAGCACTAAGTCGACGGAGGACCAGTTCCTGTAGGGTGGAGGCAGCCCCCTGGGCACTCTCAGAACCCACCTACAAAACAACAGATCTTATATAAAGGTATTTGTAAAGGAAGATGTCGTACATTGCACATGGAACAGAAATCAGATATTTCACCCGAATACATGCATGTAGAAAGTAATTTTATTTTTTAGGTCACCAAATATTTTCAGTTTTGTTGGGGCTTTCAGCTCAGATGAGCTAATAAAGTGTCATGATAAATTAATATTGTCTGAGTACAATCATATAGTAGCTAAATCTTCAATAGTATTCTATATATGGTTAATTTTTTTAAAGAGGGGGAGGGGGCTGCCAACCCCTCACCAAGCTTACCTCCTCATTATCAAGTAGACATATCAGCCTTATATAAGCTTAGGTAAATAGACATATCAGCCATATATAAGCTTACCTCCTCATTATCAAATAGACATATCAGACTTATATAAGCTTAGACAAACAGACATATCAGCCATATATAAGCTTACCTCCTCATTATTAAATAGAAATATCAGACTTATATAAGCTTAGACAAACAGACATATTAGCCATATATAAGCTTACCTCCTCATTATCAAATAGACATATCAGACTTATATAAGCTTAGACAAATAGACATACCAGCCATTTATAAGCTTAGACAAATAGACATATCAGCCACATATAAGCTTAGACAAATAGACATATCAGCCATATATCAGCTTACCTCCTCATTATTAAATAGAAATATCAGACTTATATAAGCTTAGACAAATAGACATATCAGCCATTTATAAGCTTAGACAAATAGACATATCAGCCACATATAAGCTTAGACAAATAGACATATCAGTCTTATATAAGCTTACCTCCTCATTCTCAAATTGACATAGAAGCTTAGACAAATAGACATATCAGCCTTATATGAACTTACCTCCTTATTTATATAATAGTGTTGCATTATGCATGTACTATGCCTAATTAGTAGGCAGGGTTTGACATATGGTGCACGAGCCGGAGGCGAGTGCACTATGTTTCAAACCCTGCCTACTATTTAGGCATAGTACATGCATAATGCAACACTATTGTTATTATTATGCTGACTGTTGTAATTATTTATGCGGCAATTCATTTGACTTTTTTCTGAAAATATCGGTGCTAACACAGCGCACTTGCAAGAATTCATTCAAAATCTTCATGCTAAAATTCATAATTGGTTGCATGCTTAGTTATTTTGGTTACTAGTATTTTCTCTAAATAAGTCGGGATTTTCTGTCCCAAAGCAACTCATCTTTATTTTCCGTTTTGTTAGTAATTGTTGTTTGTTTGCAGACGTCGATTCTCATTGATAATTTTCTTTTACATCCTTCAATCAAGCGTCATATAAAAAAGCGTTTAAATGACCCTATGAAATCAGTTCATCTAACGATCTGTATGTGATTAGTTTGAAACTTTGTTGAATACATTAATCTTAGGTCCCTTAGAATAATATAACTGTTTTCAAATAATATTTGTATATTTTTTCCTTCTTGTGTCAATTGTATAAATTAAGCTTATATATTTAATAAAATTCAATTAATCAGTGATCGTCTCTGTGGCGTAATCGATAAGGCATCGGACTGACAATCTCATGGTCGTGAGTTCGATGCCCGGCGTGTGCATCAAAGAATTTTATTCAGTAAATAAAGCCGTGCACTATTTTGGCATATTATGTTTACGCTATATAAATCCTTAGACCACTATGCGAGAATAGTAGGGTATAGGTTATATAGAGACAAACTGACAGGAAGCATAATAATATCAAATAGACATATCAGCCATATATAAGCTTACCTCCTCATTATCTAATAGACATATCAGCTGCCACATACAAGCTTAGACAAATAGACATATCAGCCATATATAAGCTTACCTCCTTGTTATCAAATAGACATATCAGCCATATATAAGCTTACCTCCTCATTATCAAATAGACATATCAGCCATTTATAAGCTTACCTCCTCATTATCAAACAGACATATCAGCCATTTATAAGCTTGGACAAATAGACATATCAGCCTTATATAAGCTTAGACAAATAGACATATCAGCCTTATATAAGCTTACCTCCTTGTTTTCAAAAAGACATATCAGCCATATATAAGCTTACCTCCTCATTATCAAATAGACATATCAGTCTTATATAAGCTTAGACAAATAGACATATCAGCCTTATATAAGCTTACCTCCTTGTTATCAAATAGACATATCAGCCATATATAAGCTTACCTCCTCATTATCAAATAGACATATCAGCCATATATAAGCTTAGACAAATAGACATATCAGCCTTATATAAGCTTACCTCCTTGTTTTCAAATAGACATATCAGCCATATATAAGCTTACCTCCTCATTATCAAATAGACATATCAGCCTTATATAAGCTTAGACAAATAGACATATCAGCCTTATATAAGCTTACCTCCTTGTTATCAAATAGACATATCAGCCATATAGAAGCTTACCTCCTCATTATCAAATAGACATATCAGCCGTATATAAGCTTAGACAAATAGACATATCAGCCTTATATAAGCTTACCTCCTTGTTTTCAAATAGACATATAAGCCATATATAAGCTTACCTCCTCATTATCAAATAGACATATCAGCCTTATATAAGCTTAGACAAATAGACATATCAGCCTTATATAAGCTTACCTCCTTGTTTTCAAATAGACATATCAGCCATATATAAGCTTACCTCCTCATTATCAAATAGACATATTAGCCTTATATAAGCTTAGACAAATAGACATATCAGCCTTATATAAGCTTACCACCTTGTTATCAAATAGACATATCAGTCATATAGAAGCTTACCTCCTCATTATCAAATAGACATATCAGCCATATATAAGCTTAGACAAATAGACATATCAGCCTTATATAAGCTTACCTCCTTGTTTTCAAATAGACATATCAGCCATATATAAGCTTACCTCCTCATTATCAAATAGACATATTAGCCTTATATAAGCTTAGACAAATAAACATATCAGCCTTATATAAGCTTACCTCCTTGTTATCAAATAGACATATCAGTTATATAGAAGCTTACCTCCTCATTATCAAATAGACATATCAGCCATATATAAGCTAAGACAAATAGACATATCAGCCTTATATAAGCTTACCTCCTTGTTATCAAATAGACATATCAGTCATATAGAAGCTTACCTCCTCATTATCAAATAGACATATCAGCTATATAGAAGCTTACTTCCTCATTATCAAATAGACACATCAGCCACATATAAGCTTATCTCCTCGTTAACAAATAGACAAGCTTACCTCCTCATTATCAAATAGACATGTCAGCGACATGTAAGCTATCTCCTCGTTAACAAATAGACAAGCTTACCTCCTCATTATCAAATAGACAAATCAGCCTTATATTGGTGTCTGATGCCAGACTTCCATCATCACAAGATTCTGCCAAAGCCTGTAAAATGGAGCAGAAAAATTTAGTAAGTATTAATTTAATGGATTTCAATAGGCTCAAACTTTAACGATGCTCTCAGAATTGGTTATAATATGTGTATAACTCACGCTTGTAGCACAGTATGCGTTCAGTAAATTGTCCAGTCGGGGCGAAAAGATAAACTCATCTAATGCTCCACCTATAGCCTGAAAAAGTAACAGTTGCATTTACTACATTTTGTAAATGAAATTCTCTTTCATCCCCTCAAATGACATATATTTATTGCTTTAGTCTCTAATGATGTCACTCTCCTCATGCTGAATGAAAGCCTAACATAAAGTGTATCAATGGAACAATAAATTATAGTTGATTAATGATCTATATAGAAAGAGAAAATCATGTTTTATTTGGTCATCACCAGATTAAGTAGTACTGCAAGAAAATTTACATAATGATTTGAAAATGAATTTATTAGTCTTACACCAGGCTGGGTGTCTGCTAGACAGAGTTCAAAGTCCAACATCTGCTCTGGTTGAATGTTCAGTGCATCACATATTAGCTTTACCAAGAGGGGCTGATGTTTATCTTTCTATAAAAAAAAAAAAACAATGCCGGTTAAAACAGTCATATTAAAATTTATCTTTCTACAAGGGAAGCAATACTTGTTAAAACAATCATGCAATATTTCAGATAAAAATCAGTTTTTGACATTATGGTTGGACATGATAATGTATCTGGCAATAATAAAGCCATTAGTAACCTCTAATTTAAATCCCTCTTCTTTTTTGTTTTCTTCAGAGTTTTTTGGAACACCCTGTAGTTCTGCTTGAACAGCTGTTGCCAATACAGGCAATCTGTTTAAAAGAAAGAAAAAATATGATTTATCTTTTTATATACATGTATCTTCTACTTCATTTTGCTTATGCTAAAGGCATTTGACAATAATAATAAATGAAATGCAAATAATATGAAATGGAGGTAAGTCTTTTAAAGGTAAAAATGTATATATATGTACATATGCTTTTTTGCTTCTCTTATGCATTCCCCTGAAATGCACTTTGTAATCATTAAAATAGCAAAAGCATCTGACATTGAAAAAAAAGATGTTCATTTCCTGATTCTCAATATCATAATTAGATAACAGTATTTTCCAAGCAAGACACTCGTCTAAACTTAACTTTATCGTCAAACTTTAATAGTGGGACAGCTAAACTGGTACCAAGCCTACACAAAAATCCAGCACATTCTTTACATGACTTACAAGTGTGTTTCTTTATTGGGGGAGAACTTTTCGTTGTGGTCCCTCATCAGATGAATGCAGATGTTAGGAATCTTAAGGATGGGTTTCTCCAGATTCAACAACCTGTGTTCCAGTCTCTCTCCATTCTGAAAATTAAACCATAATAGTTATATCTGGGTCATAATATACATGTATTTAAGAAATAATTCAGACCTCAGAACCACTGTTGGACAATATTGTTGGCAAACAAAAACTGAGCCCAAAGGGCAGGTTTTTATTTGCCAAAGGAAAGGAATCTTGAAACTGGGAAGGGGGGGGGGGCAAATTTTCAGTAACCTGTGCTCCAGCCTCTCTCCATTTTGAAAATTAAACCATTATAATTATATCTTGGTCATAATATTTAAGAAATAATTTCCACCTCAGAGGCATTGTTGGATATTATTCCCCGATATTCAAGAGAATTTGTTGGCAAACAAAAATGGCCTACAGGGCAGGGTTTTTATTTACCAGAGGAATCTTGAGACAGGGGAAGGGGGTGGGGGGGACTTTCCAACAATTAAAATAACAAGGGAATTATTTCTATTCTGCTATACCAACTCTTTAAAATTCCTATATAGAGAAATGGAGATATCAAGTGCCTTAATAGGACATTTTTATTACGTTATTATGTTAAATATTTACCTTTAATAGATTATCAAAGACAATGCTGTTAATATTAAAATGTCTATTTCTTTTAAAAGTAGAACCACCATTATTTCTCTTGACTTATTTCCTCCATGCTTTTTAAAGTGAAATTTTTGGCTGCTGACTTCTGAGATGGTCAATTTGAATGACTTCTGAGATGGTCAATTTGAATGACTTACCTTAGTGATGACTCTACCTGCCAGAGTCAGGTCCCGGTCAAACCAGGTGTGCCAGATCCCCCCACCGTAACACTGCACCCCTACCATCTGAAACCCACTCTTATCAACTTTAGAGCGGGGCTTCACCTGCCAATGGTACATACATACATTACAATATATAAATGAGAGAGGAAAAAACTACACAGACCTAAAACAATCACCTGAAAGTGATGACAGACAGATAATATAGCAACTAGCAACCGAGTTTCTCCTTTCAAATAAAACTAAGATACATATTGTACAATCTTTATCATCTGATAAATATTTGTACATGTACTTGTGTATATTTACATTCGCTGTGTTTTTCTACTAAGCCAACTGTGAAATTGATTTGAAAGTCATTTTTGTGTATACTCGCGCGTAGAAATATACACGGAGAAACGTGCGTTCACGTGACGTCACAATGAGGCAGCAGCGATGTTAGTATAGGACAGAGATAAATTCAAATATTGAGTATGTTTTAGTTGCTTCCAAACATGTAAAATGGAAATATAAGGAATGTTTTTCAGCTTAGTGTGAATTATTGGTGTGTGAATCACACAGACTTGCACGTACGCATATTTTTCATGAAGCGCTAGCGCGCTTCATGAAATATGCCTACGTGACAAGTCTGTGTGATTCACACACCAATAACTCGCACAAAACTGAAAAACACTCCTTAAATAAGCACTCCATACTTATATAGAAAATTTTTAAAGATTTATTAATATAATATCAAAAATATCAAAAAGCAAATGTCGTAGTTACATTAAAAATGTATGTATCAGAAATTGCACAATTTAAAAACACTTTATACAGGATCAAATTTATACAATGTACATTCAACACTGTACTTTCGTTTTTTTTTTTTTTTGCTTTTTGATGTTAGTAAATCTTTAAAATTATAAGTATTGAGTGCTTTATAATACATAATGACATGTACAAAATGCTGACTACTTTATTTCATCTACATACCTTCAAACAAGGGCTGTCAGTGTGAGCTCCGATGATACTGAACCCATTCCCTGGCTTAAATTTCCCACCAACAGCAAACGCAATGATGGTAGAATGATTTCGGGTCAAAAAACACTAGTATGGAGAAATAAAGTCAATTGTTTTCATACATAAAACAGACTCTCTTTCATTTACAAATGTAGTTATAAAAAATATCCTAGTAATATTTGATGTGCAGTTTAAATCTTTAAAACAAGAAATGAATTCTATTTTTACTGTAAATAAATTTGCACATAACAATTTAGAACATATTTGAAACATAGTCACAATTCTTGATGTATGAAAAAGATATTATGATTGAATGTACAGACAGATAATCAAAATTTCTATACAAAATGGAATACAATTAAAATCCTACTGACAATTAATCAATCCCTGTATAGTATTACCTTGTCCAAAGGTTTCACTGACCATGGCTCTGTTTCACTCAGTTCTTTGAAGCCAGCTGATACAAGAATATTCTTTACTTCTTGGACAACTATACAAATACCAAAAAAAAGTTAAAACACACATTACAAATTTATTTTGTATCTATGTTCCTGTTATCAGAGATGTAGATACATTTACTCTGGAATGATTTTACATGTAATTTGTGGAGTTCAATGTTATTAGACAAGCAAAATTTTATTGGTTCCAGCCTGGGGACGTAATTTCTAGGTAACTCATATATACAGAGATCTCAAGAATAAATTTGTTGACAAAAACTTTAAACCAAACCTAGGGCTAAGTTAGATAGAATGTTCTATCGTTAAAATGATATTGTCCTACGGACCCGGTTTAACGATAGAATTCGTTCCGTGTATTCGTAATGTAGCAGAAAGAAACACGGGCGATAACTCGCATAGTGCATTTACTAGGAACAATCTAGAGAGTTCCGAATGTAGTAATTTGAATCGAGAGAAAAACGTTGAGAAAATTAATTGGATTTTCGTATTTATATGGATTATTTTATGGGATAAAAGGCATAAGCAATCTCAAAAAGGTTTGTTTTGATTATTTTGGCAGTTATTCCCAGTGCAAATCATTTTATATTCTTCAAAATCGTTTCGGAGCGGATCCGCTCCGATTTGCTACATTACAAGTATATGGGACGTATTCTAACTGTGGTGAGGGCCTGTACCGAGACACAGTTAGATTATTCTAACTAGGGCTAAGTATCTTTAGGTTGGTGCTTTATCTTTCATAGAGAGTTCAATGTTACAATATGATAATAAAATGTTTTTGGTTTTTTTATTTTCCATTGTTAAGAATCAGACATCTACATGTACATCTACAGCGTACATATACAGTGTTCCATCAAACCTGATGATTATACGCTGGCTCTGCGCAAACGGACCTCTAAATTTTAATTTAAAAAGTATATGAAAAAAAAAAAGAAAAAAACTAAGTGCCATGGAAAGTATAAATAAACTAAGTGTTATAGAAAACAATTTACATTGTGCATGAAAAAGGTGAATATCTATATATATTTACATTGTGCTATAATTTGCTCTATAAATATAAGAGTTATGGAACATGGCTTGGGACCAGAGTTCTGAACTGGACCAGAGAGGCCGCTGCCACCACTGAGTGTGGAAGAGACAAACACAAATTAAACTTGTTAATATCGCAATTCATTTCTTTAATAAAACATATTTTTTTTTAATCTCGGAGATATTTGTAATTTGTTACCGTGGTAGGGAGATGGGCTCTTGTTGACAAAGTTCAGAAACTGCTTTGCAGCCGAAAGAACGCTTTCCTTAGTCGAACTCTGAAAAGTGGAAATCCCAGTTACCATGATATAGTTTAATGGGTTTGTGAGACCTTTTACTAAAATTCTAATTACGTATTGAATTGATAATCTTATGATAAACGTTTTTACCATTCCCTGACTGTTGACAAAGACGCCACTGACTGCTTCTCAGTTGAAAAAAAAATGTGAATGTCGATCCCGATTCACTTTCGCTTTTGCGATTCCACATGGCCCATGGGCCACAATACTAACATGAGACATTATGAACTTACTTTTCCCCATCAGCAGATTTTCCTCCTATATGTTCCAATAAAAATTTGATCACCCATTGTGGTCCCACCATACCATTGAAAGTCATGATTTATATTTTAAAAAAATAATAATGATGGACCACGTACAATGCTCACCTGAGTCACTTTGGTCCTGCTGTTTTTCATCAGATTTGACCATGTTGACCCTCCAGGTAATAATTTGTTTCCTGATTGTGGTCCCATCTTAATTCACCTCAGGGGTCATGAGTGGAACAATTTAGAAACCATACACCATCCCAGGAATTAAGCTTCCACGTAAGTTTCAGCATATTATTTAAAAATGTTTCCTATATATATGTAATAGTTATTGTATATTTATTATGGTGTATCCTGAGTTATTTGGACGAGTGCGAAGCACGAGTCTCCGCCCTTCGTCCAAATAACTCAGGATACACCATAATAAATATTCAATAACTTTCTTGTATCATGGCCAATCAAACGTCATGTCACAGATTTTCATGCATGATTTTTAATTACACCAATAGAAAATGTATAGTTTTTGTCAGGTGACCGCATGGATAATCTCTCCTTCCTGTCAGTATTTTTAATAAACACATTTTACGTGCGTGTGTTCATGAAAAAGGACGTTGGATTGCAGCATCCCAGCCCCCCCCCCCCCCCCCCCCCCCCCCCCAGGATTTTAGAGTGTGGTGCAAAAGGTTTTTTCCTTGTCAACTGTTTTTGGAGGCCCCCTTTCTTTTAAATGTAGCTACGGATTTAAAGTGGTCGAGGTGTGATTCTGAGTGCTGGGGGCACCGACCTGGAGCCTCCCCCCTTTCAAAAATTGCTGGATCCGCCCCTGGATGTTAATGAAAACCTTTGGATATCAAAAAAGAAAAATTTGAAGACGAAGAAGGTAAATTCAAGTGTTATTCGAAAATCAAGAAAAAAAGATACCCGTTGATTATTTGATATATTCGAGAGTTGTCGTATTCACGAAAACGCTGTGCCAGGGTCAATTACTCTTCATCTTTGGATGCAGTACAGCTTAAGCCCTATATTACAATAGGTGGGATATTTTAATATATTTCTGTGTGGAATTCATGAATGTCAAGAATTTGATTTCTCGTTGCTGTGGATTGAATATTTGAAGAGTTCCGTAAAATCATTTAGTAGTTTGGGATATATATGAACTGTAATTTATGTGAAAGACTTTTATTTCACTTGCAGAAATTTTGCCTTTGTATATTACAAAGCCCATTCATTCTGTAATTCAGATTCAGAATACATGTAATTTAAAATGATGAAATCGCCTAGGTGTTCAATAATTTATTTACACGGCACAGTTTTTGCTGGCTGCGCCCATCGGTGTATCTCCAGTTATTGTACACTTGACTTCAAAGGAAAAACACCGCAGCCATGATACAAGATTCAATGTAAAACTTTGATACTCTATTGTACGTGCCCTCATCCTAACCCCAAGGGCCATTTGATTGGAACAGTTTGAATCTAGACTATCTTAGGAAGCTCCCACATAAGTTGCAGCTTTACTGGACTATATTAAATTGTTTTTTGAAGAGAAGATTTCAAAGGATTTTCCTTTGTTTCAAAGTAATGTGAATCCCTAATATGTAGCCCCTCCCAAACCCTGGAGACCACGGATTTAGAATTTACACACCTCAGGAAGCTTCCACATAAGTTTCAAATTTACTGGTTCAATGTTTCTTAAAAGAAGATTTTTATACCCCCGCTTGAAAAGCAGGAGGGTATATAGTAATCGGGATGTCCGTCCATCTGTTACGCTTTGGGGTACCCATGCATCTCTTATCTGCAACTCTTCTCATACCACTGAATGAAATTGGATGAAACTTTCACAGAATCTTTATTACATATTGCCATTGTGCACCTCCTATTTTACTTTTTGATCTGACACATATTTTGGGTTCCCCTTAGCAAAACATGCACACTGCCATTATATTCATATGGGAGGCGGGGGGTATCATTTAGTGAGCTCATTGTACACAGTATACCTTTAGTTTCCTATGTGTTTCAATGTGAATTTAACTTTGATTCCAAATTAAGGTACGTCCCACCCTAACCCCAGGGGCAGTGATTGAAACAATTTAGAATCTAAACTACCTCAGGAAGCTTCCACATAAGTTTCTGCTTTACTAACCCAGTGGTTCTTAAGAAGGGTTTTAAAGATTTTCTATGCCTTTCAATGTAAAAGTTTGATTCCAAGGACTGAAGTTACTCATAAAGGGCCCTGTAATGACCCTGACCTTTGAACCCTGACCTTTGGTCAAGTGCTTAAAATTAACTTTTGAGCAGTAAAATTTTTCAAGATGTAAATTTCTTACCATTTTTGTCTAAAGGTAAGTATTACTATGTAGTAAATAAGAAAATTGTATATTAAAAATCATTCCAGTATTGCAAAACAATGGCATGTAAATACGGTAGTGGGCTTTAAATTGACAAAGATGCCCCAAATACTTCTCCTAGCTTTTCCAAAGCATTCTCCACGAAGCATCAATCAATTATATTTGGGGCTTCAGAAAACCCTACATATCTGATTATTTTACATTTGATTATTTGACCCAAATATTTTTATGCCCCTGGATCGAAAGATCCCCGGGGTATATTGTTCTTGTCCCGTCTCTCTGTTGTCATCTTTAACCTAGCCCATAACTATTGAGTGGGTGGGGCTATGGCATTTATACTTCACAGGTGTATTCCTTGTGACAAGACCTTTCTGTGGGTACTACCAAATTTATCTCTTGTTCTTGAAGTTTGACCTACTTTTACCAAAAAAAAAACAACACACTTTAACCTTAGCCATAACTTTTGAACAGCAAGGGCTAGGGCTTTCATACTTCATGTGTATTTATTGTGACAAGACTTTTCACCTGGTATAAATATTTTTGACCTTGTCCTAAGAGTTTGACCCACTTTTTCAAAACTTTAACCTTGGTCATAACTTTTAAACACTTCTTAACAGTTAGAACTAGGGTTTCATATTTCATAGGGGCATTTCTTGTAACAAGACCTTTCTTTGGGTACCACAACACTTTAACCTTGGCCATAACTTTTGAACAGTTGGGGCTAGGGCTTTCATACTTCACATATGTATTCATTGTGACAAGACTTTTCAGCTGGTATAAATATTTTTGAGCTTTTGACCTTGACCTAAAAAGTTAGACCCATTTTTTAAAAAAATTTAACCTTGGTCATACCTTTTGAACAGTTAGAACTAGGGTTTGCATATTTCACAGGTGTATTCCTTGTAACAAGACCTTCCTTTGGGTACCAACACTTTTGACCTTGACCTTTGGAGTTTGACATGCATTTGAGAGAATTCAACCCTAGCCATACGGAGATATCAGTGTTTCACAGACATATCTTGTTTTACTGTTGTAGTTAAATTAACAATGCTATCATTGTAAATGTCTTTATTTAGTTGTGTAATTTTTTACGATTCTTGTAACAGAATATATAAAAATTTTTATTACAAGTCTTTTCATGGCATGAATATTGCAAAATGATAAACAAAATACCCATATAAATGCCACTTACTGTGCAATAACAACTCTAAAAGTTCACCATGAAAGTCAACTTCATTGGATATCAATTCTCATATGACATTAATTTTTTTTTCATTCCAAACTTTTCCTCTTCTTCTTGCTCTGTGGTTCATTAATTTTTCTGAGTGGAGTGTTACTGCTCCCTGACTGAGGCCGCTTCTTTTTCGCGGAGGCGGATAAGGTCGGGGTTTTGTCGGATCGTACGGTGACTGGAGTGTTACTGCTTCCTGACTGAGGCCGCTTCTTTTTCACGGAGGTGGATAAGGTCGGGGTTTTGGAGGATCGTACGGTGTTGGGGGGAGTTTTAAATGAAATGTCCTCCTCTTCACTGTCCTCCATTAAGATCTCCATACTTTGATCTTTTGGTGAGATCTGAGGACTAATTGTCTTCCTGTTTTTCTTTTTTGGCATCGGTGTTAGTTTATGTACAGGTGTTGCCTTCGATGTTGCTGTTGTTGCTTTTGGTGTTTGTTGGGTGGCTTTGCCTACACCTGGGGTTCCTTTAGGTGTTTTTGCTTTCTTAGATGTTGGAGGTGTTGCCTTTGTTGTTACTGGGGTTGCTGCTATAGGTTTTCCTTTGGGAGTTTGCTGCCTTCCTTCACTCACAGCTGGGGCTTCTTTAGGTGTTTTTGCTTTCTTTGATGATACAGGTGTTGACTTGGAGGACAGTGGAGTGACTTTAGAGAGTGTTGATGGTCCCTTAGGTGTTGCTTCAGCAGAAGACAGAGGTGACTTGGAATCTGACTTAGATTTTTTAGCAGAGTCCGGTGTTTTTGCATTAGATTTTACATGTGTCTTCACATTTGTTTCTGTTGTTTCATGGGTCAATTTCTCCTTTTCTTTTTCTTCAATAATTTGCTTCCCTGTTTCTAAAACTTTCTCCTGTAAATTAGAATAAATTTTGACTGTAAAAAAAGAATTATTCTGAAATGATTGCAATTTATGAATGCCAAACTTTATTTCATAACACTATTTAGTGTATCATATATTTTTTTAAAATACATTCATTCACAATCTCATAACATAAACATGTTTTATCAATGACATTATTGTTCACAGATAGCATATTTTTTTAAATATGTATATTTAAATATTTTAAATATTTTGACATTAATACACTGTTGGTGGATACTTACAAGAGTGTTCATTTTCAGGTCAATCCCTAACACCTTCAGCATGTCGCTTCTCTTTTTCTGCTTTTTCAGAAGTCTTTTTATCGACTTTTCCTGTTTGAACTCGGCTTTCCTGTTGTTGTGTCTATCACGAGCGATGATATGTGCTTTTGGTGGCTTAAACACGCCACTTCTTCTGCCCATTGTTTTAGGATGAAGTTTCTCGGATGGAATATACTGGCCTAAAATATACAGTCTCGAAGGTCAGCTCTAATTTTCATTAATTGGCATTTTCTCTTTTCCAAATTCTAAATATGAATACTTTTTGCCTTCATTATTTGGTTAAAAACTCTGATATAAAACCCTACACTTAATGAAATTCAGCTCAAACTTTCAATTTTCTCTTTTCCAAATTTTAAATATGAATACTATTTGCCTTTACTATTTGGTATAAGAAAACCTCTAATATAAAACCCTACACTTGATGAGTCTTTCAAACACCAGGTAATTGTTCATAGTGTCTGCTACAATTCTGGCCACATCATCTGACTGGAATTCCACAAAAGCGTAGCCTTTACTTTTACCAGTCTACAAATGAAAGTATACCTTTGACAATACATGTACCAAGTAAAGATAGGAATGAGAAGATGCATTTATACCAAGAGCAGATTCACCTAGGAGAGTAGAACCCATCACATTGGTGTGTCTCTTACCCATACATGCTATAATTATGATAAAATTGATATTTGTTTCAGAGAGGAAGCTGGAATTGTTTAGCAACCAACAGAAATAAGCATGTCACCTGAGTGATTTAGTTAGATTTCCTACTTTCTATATTGTAAATATTCTACCAGAAAACCCCACCTCATCTGTCTTCCTTCAGTGAAGTGCCGTGGATAGTAATTACAGTCAAACCTTATTGTCTGGAAGTTTGGGATATTTGAGGATTTGTAAAAAAAAAATCAAGGTTAAAATACTTAGGCCAAAAAAAAATAATAGTTTCTCAGGCCAAAAAATTAAAAATTCAATGCGACAGGCAGGCTTTTTTTTGTTTTTTGTTTTGTTTTTGTTTTTGTTTTTTCGAAAGCAGGTTTTACACCTTTTTTTGTAAGTCATTTGTGCAATAGAAATGATAATATCTACTAATTCTTAAGTTTTGATCTCTGAAATTAGGTATAATATGTTTTCAACGTTAAATAATGTTATTCCAAACATTTATTTAAAAGTTAATTGATAAAATACTTTAGATTTAGAAGAAATATATTGTTTTTCTAATAAAAACGTCTTTCTTAGCATTAATGAAAAGGGGAATAACTCGATTTTCTTTTTCAACTTGGAAAAATAGAAAAATTGAGTTATTTCCCTTTTCAATATGTCAATAAAATTGATCAATGCAGCCATTTTTGAACTGATGAAACTATTAATTAATTTTTTTTGGCCTTATAGAAAAATGATTGGAACTTCCACTTAAGTTTTTTGATCCAGGAAGTCCTGAACATAGATTTAATTCTAAATCTACTAGGCCAGCCTGGTATATCTCACCTTATTACTACGGGAAACCTTCACAGCTTTCACTTTTCCAAACTGTGACATGTATTTCTTGAGTTGGCCTTCATAAAATCCATGGGGAAGATGTCCAAGGTAGACAACTCCTGATCCTTTTTCTTTTTCTCCCTTGTAAATCAAAATCAAAATTTCAAATCAACCTCAAGGGCCTGTTTTATTTACATTCACTCTACGATTCCTGCTCCCCAGGGGAATAAACAATGCACAGTTTTTCCAATACAAAAACAAATAATAAGATGTTATATGCATTTTAGTATGCACTAAATCTTTGTTTCAAGCACAATTTATTTGACTTGGCCTCACAGTGAATTTATTTGGTTACAATGGAAATAAAATTGTAATTCAGGTCCAATCAAGGTGTACATATTTACCTTGCATTCCATACACATTGAGCCTCTTAGGTCTTTTGGCCACTGGATGTATAAAATAAAACACAGGGTGAATTTCTGTGCAACCTTGTTTGAACCTTGATGACTAATAAATCATTTTTTTAAGTCTTAAGTGCTGATAATTTATATGGCATATATAAATGTACTTAATCTATCTTTAATTTGGGTTGCTTTTTTGATAGCAATTTTTTTTTTCCTTTTTTTTTCTTTTTTTTTTTTTTTTTTACAATAAAACAGTTTTGTGAAAAACTGCATTTAATTTTTTCAAGCTATCTGAATTGCTTAATAAGCTAGATAGTAGAGCTGAAACGGATGTTCAAACATTCAAACATTCGCAAATGAAAATATTTGTCCACATGGTACTACTGGCCTGATAAAGGCATGATGTCAAATCTATTTAATCATCTTCAAGACAAACATTCATCAGCCTCATGTATCTCCGATCTAGACCGCCATGATTTTTACTATCGAAAATAATGAAAGATTTATATTGTGCGGAGAAAATTATTCCAGATTAACAAATAGTATCGATTGTTCCGATTTATAAATAATTGCAGAAATCATTTGTGAAAAAATATACATTACATTATACTTTTTTGAGAATGTAATATTTTAAATTTTAATATAGTCTAAATAAATTTACAGGACATTTCTGGAAACGGACCGTTTTTCGTTTATTTTAAATATAACAGTAAAACATGGCGTGCACCTGCTGGTTTGGTGACTGAGCGTTTTACATAATCAGAATGCAAGACATTGAACTAATTTTAAGAAGTAAAGAGGCTTATGATTGTTGATAAAGATTCTTTTTCTAATTTAGTTATTTGTTGAAAGTAAAAGCAAGTCTTAATGTACTTTCACAGGCACCTGACGTTACTTATTTTTCTTTTAATAAAAAAAATATACCCTTACCTTAAAATAAACCAAGGCTCCCAACGGCGCCACCTTGAATTTTTCAAGGTCTGCCACATCCACTTGTATTTTCGTCTGAAACTCCGTCAAATAAATTCCCTGCAACCATATTCTTTCTGTGGCCAGTCTTTCGAGGTCTAAACTTACAGACACTGCAGCCAGAAGGGCGCATCACACTTGCAAATATTAAAAATCCCTCGTCAAACTCGATCTACTGCTTCAACAATCCGAGAAATCGCCAAAGGGGGGCCGGAAGTTTACATATGACTTGAAATTCTTAAGGAAAGCCCTTTTTTGATTGGTCAATATATTTGTTTGATTTATTTTTAAAAATAACCAGCGAAAGTTATAAACTACTTATTCCAAAAACAGTTCAGACAATAATACAACGTAATATACATGTAAGAACATTCATTGCATTTCTCTCTAAAATAATTTCGATATAGCTTGATCAAAGCGATTATATTTTGTAAATGTCGAAGATCGGCCTGATATCATGCTAGCTGATCAATGAACATTTTCGAGACAAAATATTGAGTCGGTTGTAAGTCCCTAATTACATGCACTTGATATAATTAATAACACTGTCATGATTGATGCCCTGATTGAGCGATATCCGTGGAGAAGATTGACTTTGTTTATTCAAAGTATGTACCCACGTGTGTGAGAGGGGGGGGGGGTTCCACACTAAAATTATTCCAGGGAGTGTTGAGATCTACAATTTTATGTATTGCAATAAAGTAATGGCATGGCGACATTTTTTTTCCCCTTTGGCGATTTCTCGGATTGTTGAAGCAGTAGATCGAGTTTGACGAGGGATTTTTAATATTTGCAAGTGTGATGCGCCCTTCTGGCTGCAGTGTCCGTAAGTTTAGACCTCGAAAGACTGGCCACAGAAAGAATATGGTTGCAGGGAATTTATTTGACGGAGTTTCAGACGAAAATACAAGTGGATGTGGCAGACCTTGAAAAATTCAAGATGGCGCCGTTGGGAGCCTTGGTTTATTATAAGGTAAGGGTATATTTTTTTTATTAAAAGAAAAATAAGTAACGTCAGGTGCCTGTGTGTACTTTGTACATGTCAAACGACTTTGAACAGACGTTTATTTCTTACACTATGCTTATCGATATATAAACGAATTCTATCGTTAAACCGGGTCCGTAGAGGTAAACGACTACTCGGCCCAACGACACCTCGGCCCGTGCTCGTTGAATTAACAACACCTAGGATTTGCAAGTATATGAAAAAGGCATAATAACACCTTTATTTAACTAAAAGTGTAATTGATGTAAATCACCCGAATGCTGGCAATTTCGAATAACAGTAACGAATATTGATTTTTGGTATTCGTTTAAAAATATTAACAGCTGCTACTAGCTATTTTTTCACAAAAATTCCATATGGAATTAAAAAAAATCGTTTAAAAAAAATCAGGTATTTGTTTACTAAATCATTATGTCACACTAATAAGCTGGAGCTGATAGTCCAGCACAATGTCCTGGTCTGTTTAATTTTAAAAACTCAATCTCTTCAATTTTTAACCGGTTTCATTTTCAAACATGATCTTCTCGGGCAGTCTCTCGCACATTCTATTCAATTACCTTTGCCTTGATTTTTTTCATATATAACGGCATTCTCTTTAAATGTCTTTAAATTTGGGCCGGCTCCAAAGCCGATGTCTTTTGCCCGGCCGGGCCCTTTCCTGATTTTTCGTAACTTTTTGTACATGTCAAACGACTTTGCTTCTCCTTTTCCATGATATATAGTAATTAACAATAGGATTTGCAAGTATATGTAATAACACCTTTATTTAACTACGGAATGTTCATGCGAATCGAATAACAGTAACGAATATTGATTTTTGGTATTTGTTTCAGCTCTCTAGCTATTTCAAGCCAATGCTAAATCATTATCAAGGGAATAAGCTGGAGCTGATAGTCACACAATCTGACAATTTTTAACCGTGAAGTCTAGGGCAGTCTCTCGCACATTCTATTCAATATTTGCCTTGATTTTTTTCAAGTTCTCTTTAAATTCTTCTTGCTTTTCTGGCTCCAAAGCCAAACCCTTTCCTGATTTTTTAACTTTTGCCACATGCTTCTCCTTTTCCATGTTGTTTTATATTAATCTATGTCATCCATTTACTGTTTTTCTTTCCCCAGAAAAGCGCACTGAAATATGACATTTAAAAACTCTTAATTAAAAAGTATTGTTTGAAGTCAAATATTTCTTTCAGCATATGCAAATATTTAACAAAAAATCTATATTTCATTTTTTACAAAATAATTAAAAAATGACAAAAAAAGTTCCCGATTCATTGAACGGCACAACTTAGTTTATGAATGTCATCATTCGTAATATTTTGGATATAAACGAAGTTCAATATACTTAATATTTCCGAAAAATTTTAATCGAATCTGTTGAGCGAAATGGAGAATATTTACGGGAAAAAAATATTCGGAGGGCTTCAATAGTACTAGATTTACCGCCTGCACTATCGGAACACCTCTAATTGTACCACTTAGGGAATCTGTTTTTCCCAAGGGAATCCGATCAAACTTGACAACTGTGTAAACATGGCTAAAATCGTGATTGCTGGTAAGATTTTTTAACTTAAAATGTTGAATAAATCATCTATTTAGCTTTTACATGGGAATAATCGTAATAAACATGAACACCTCTCAAAGCATGTATGATGCACATGTAATTTACAGGGCTAAACATGCTAAATTAGGATTGTGTCTACTGCCCAATCCCATTCATATTTTTTTCTTCCAAATCATATCTTCTTTGTACTTATAATCAGATGATTTTTTGTGCAGGAAAATCCAATTGTCCATATTATGCCAGATCAGAGCTGTTAGGCGACAAACTTTCAAGGAATCTACCAGACTTTCAACTGCATAAAATAGTTGTGAAGCCAGAAGAATGGGATGTGAGTGATATTCATTTATTTTATTCTGAACATATTTTAGCTGCAGTTAATAGTTGTTTCTTCATGGCAAGAAATTGTTTCATATATTCAGAGTCATGATAAAAAAAAAATTTATATACATGTAGTTTTTTACTTTTAAAATTTTAGTTGTATTTCGTGATCCTTTTTAAAAAAAATTATTTTGAATAACATATCATAATAAAATATTTTAAAATATGTTCAAAATATGTATCAATATGTTTTCATTATCATTTATTGAAGACTTGGCTGAAGGACACATGCAGTTTGAGAGAATGGGAACATAAGAAGTCCCCTTTGGTGTGGCGAGAACTCATTGATAGAGGAGGAAAGGGGGTCCTCATAGGAGGTGCCAATGAATTCCAGGAATATGCAAATGGATACTATGGCGTTCAATCCACACAAAACAGTGAGGACATGCAAAAGATTTCTGAGGAGAATAAAGCATACAAAATAGAGGAGGATAAAGAGGAGGAAGCATTCAAAGCCCTGAGTCACCCCCTGCATGTATGTATCACAAACGCCTCAAATCCTGTATGTTACAACTTAGTTGATGCAATGGCTAGAGGGGATGTCTTTGGTGACTCAACAGAGATTTCTTTGCATCTGTTAGATGATAAATCTAACATGGAATCATTAGAAGGACTTAAAATGGAAGCTATGGACCTGGCACATGGACTTCTTAGAGAAATAATTGTGACCTCAGAGGTTTCCAAGGCTTTTGAAGGATGTGATGCAATTGTTGTGATGAATGACTTGATTCAATCAGAGAAAGAAAGCAGAGATGATTTTGTTAAACGGTCTGTTGAATACCATGTCAAATATGCCAAGGCCATCAACGATAATGCGAAAAAAGAGGTCAAAGTCTTAGTCACAGGAAATGGGCCAACTAATTTAAATGTTTACATGATGATCGAAAATGCCCCAAACATTCCAAAACAAAACATAGTAGGACTTTCCCGAAGACTGGAAAACAATGCAAAGTCTGTGGTAGCAGAGAAACTAAGCATAAATCCCAATGGGGTGGTGGATCTAATTGTTTGGGGAAACATCAATGGGGATTCCTTCATTGACATCTCTAAATGTCGTGTCCATGGTTATGATGGCGCCATCTGGGGACCTCCTTCCTTCTCACTTCCTGCTGCTGAAATGATCTGGGATAAGAAGTGGATGGAAAATGAGTTTGTTGGTATGAGATTACACTTTTTAAAAATATAAATTTCTGTAAATTCATTTTTTAAAGAATTTTACATTGAAAAGTTCATTAGAATTTTATAATATACAGTTATGGAATAGGTACAAGGGAATTATATAACTGGCTTTTACAGAGCTTGTAAAGAACCGGCACCAGAAAAGTCAGGAGTTGATGGGACACTCAGCCAGCATGTCCAGAGCGGCTGCTATAGAAACCACATTAGCTCACTGGTGGAATGGATCACCGCAGGGACAAATCTTTTCCTTTGTTGTGGCATCAGAAGGTAAGCTTAAAATATTCTGTCCAATAAAGCACATAATTATATCTTTTTTACTTTCTAAATAGCAATTAATGAGCACAAAGCTTGCCCAATATAAAACTGAATTCCACTGTCAAAGAAAACTAGAACTGTCCAAACGGGACAAAATACCCCCCGCTGGGTTTTTCAGAAGTAAGTTTTTCCATAATAAAGATTATAATGTACCAAACACGAATTATGAAATTTTACTTCCAGTGACCTTCAACTTCCCCAAATGACCTTGGGTTAAGGTCATGACACACCCTTGGGTCATGGGCAATCTTTGAGTGAAATGAGAACCTACCAAGTTTATCCATAAGAAAGACATGGACCGGACATGAATCATGAAATTTTTATTCCAGTGACCTTGAACTTCCCCAAATGACCTTGGGTCAACATGACACACCCTTGGGTTATGGACAATCTTAGTGTGAAATGAGAACCTACCAAGTTTATCCATAAGAAAGATATGGACCGGACACGAATTATGAAATTTTACTACCAGTGACCTTGAACTTCTCCAAATGACCTTGAGTCAAGGTCATGACACACCCTTGGGTCATGGGCAATCTTTGTGTAAAATGAGAACCTACCAAGTTTATCCATAAGAAAGATATGGACTGGACATGAATTATATTTTTATTCCAGTGACCTTGAACTTTCCCAAATGACCTTGGGTCAAGGTCATGACACACCCTTGGGTCATGGGCAATCTTTGTGTGAAATGAGAACCTACCAAGTTTATCCTTAAAAGATATGTATCAAACATGAATTATGAAATTTTTCTTCAAGTGACCTTGAACTTCCCCAAATGACCTTGGGTAAAGGTCACAACACACCCTTGGGTCATGGGCAATCTTTGTGTGAAATGAAAACCTACCAAGTTTATCAATAAAAAAGATATGGACTGGACACGAATTATGAAATTTTTCTTCAAGTGACCTTGAACTTCCCCAAATGACCTTGGGTCAAGGTCATGACACACCTTAGGTCATGAGCAATCTAAGTGTGGAGTAGTAGATTCTAATGTCCCTCTGTAAGAAAGATAAGGACCGGACACTTTTATGCATCTTATTGCACAGACAGAAGGACATACAGACAGACGGACAAGGTGATTCCTATATACCCCCCCAAACTTCGTTTGCGGGGCGTAATAAAGTTGTTGGACAGAGTTATCACCCCTTATCTTAAGCATTGAGCAGAGATATGTATTTGTTAACAACAGAACATCGTTGGGTTCAATTCAAGTTGATGAATGTCAGTTAAGGACCCTCTCTACACCAGTGCAAAATTTTTTTTGGACATTGAGAAAAATATATTGAATAAAGGAGTTAATATTGAGCTTATTTATCTAATTTTCACTGTATGGTGTGTGGCATTTACCCCCAGGAAAAATGTTCAAAGACAACACAGTATTGGTGAATAGAAATCACTGTTAATTAATTCAGTAGAGAAAATACATGTGAATAACACGTTCAGTTAATTTGTCTTGGCCTTTTAAAATATTAAGAATACTTGAATTAATTGAAAATTGAGTAATACATTGTAAATATATATTCATGTATTTTTTAGAATTTAGATCTAAGGGCAGATCACTCTAAGTGCAGAAAAATGCCTTGGAATCAGAACTCTTTAGTGTGCAGTGTAGAGAGGTTTCTTAAAGCTAGCTTATAAACTAATGACTGGATTATATGTTATATTCCTGTGTTTTAGGATGGTATGATGTCCCTGAAGGCCTGCCCTGCTCCTTCCCTGTGACCATCAATCCTGAAGGTTCCTGGTCAGTTGTACAAGACCTGGAGCAGACTGATGCCATCAAGGAGAAAATTAAAGCAGCCATTAAGGTGAGGAATCACAATATAGCAGTGGACTGTCCATATGTCGAGCTTCCTGTAAACAATACATCACCAACATTTGTGTCAAGGGGTTTTAGAATTATAAATATGTTCATGTAATCTGTGAATTAACCAAAGAAAAGCCTATATCTCCTATTTAATATTTGCTTTTCAGTCCTATTGATTGTTTGTGAAAAAAAATTCCAAAATGATTCGAATATCCAACTATCATTTAAATTTAATGCAATACTGGTAATTGCATGACTAAGAAAAGTATATAAATATTTTTGCATCCCTATAATTATTAAGTATTTTTAGGGATGGTTATTTCAATATTGTGGGTATTTTTAAAAAAAAATTACCATTAATTTTTTAAGGACATTATTGCTGATAAAAATGTGATATATCCGCCACCAAAACCGCCTACCCCACCACCCAGTGAGGTCAAGGTCACCATTGTGGATCCTAAAAACCAGGAAAAGACTGATGGAGGTAATTTATAACTTCTTATGCTTTAAAATGGCAGATTTACAAAAAGTAAAGTACCACTCAATGCATGTTGGAAATACAGAATTTAAACGTTCATGCATGTGTAAGGGGAGAGGAGAAAATGCAGCGGACCAGACTGAGATTCGAACCCAGGACCCCTGAAACTTCGGTCAGGTGCTGTACCAACTGAGCTATCTGGCCACTGGTGATCGAACCCAGCTGACCGCCACATTCCTCCCTCCTTAAAGCCCAGGCTCATCCCTGGCAGGCCTCTCACCTGTCAGTTCCAGGGCATTGCAAGGCACCAAATGTAACGGGAGAGGATAAAAATGCAGCGGACTAGATCAGGATTTGAACCCAGGCCCCCTGAAACCCCAGTCAGGTGCTCTACCAACTGAGCTATCTGGCCACCAGGTTTGAATCCCGGTCTGTTCCGCTGCATTCTCTCCTTTCCCGCTACACATATATATGGAAATTGCTCTCCATCTATGTTAATTTACACTCGAATTAATCTCACCTTGCAATAATTTAAAATAAACACTGTACTTATCAGATATCTGCCTTCATTTCTTAGTTCACATGCAAATTCTGTGGAATATTTAATTTCTACCAACTTCTGAAAGCAAATAAAATATCTTTTTAAAGAGTTTAATTTTCCAGGATCAATCGAAAGACCCATGTAAAATGAAGTTTGTCTTTGTACAGATAAAGCTGCAGAGAGTGATTCCAACACAGAGGCCAAACTGGCTACAATTATTGAGGAGAAAACAGCCGATTCTCTGAACCTGAAAACGCCGGATTCTGGACCTAAACCAGAATAAATCAGCTGGCTCTGAGATACAGAATAACCGGAGGGTGTTACACTTTATATACAAAAGAAACTCACTGTTTATCATGTCTTGGAGTCAAATGTTATTGTATGTGAAGTGCTGTAAAATAAATTTATTTACGTTTACTTTGCTAATTCTTTTTCTCAGATTGTTACAGATACATGTATCATTTCGAAACAAAAAATACAAAAGCATTAAGAACTTCCAATTAGATTAATAGCTTTCACACGGTGACACACTTTCCTAACACAGGCCAACTTATACCAGGTGAATGTTTATGTGCTTGTTAGAATTCACCTTAAACAAAATGTTACCAAAATTGAATTGTTTTATACTTGATGCGATACATACTTGGCTCATATAACGAAGTCATGATATATGAAGCATGTTTTTACCATTTTGAAAATTAAAATAATCGGGAAGTCATTTCAGTTAGGACTGTGAAAGATCATTCACTTCGAGTGATTATATAACTTTTATGGACTTCAGTGAACAGTAGCTACCTTGAAGGCTCAGTTGCTATCAATTTCTGGGTCTAAGGTCAATATCACTTGCCATGAGTCCTTATAACCACACATCGACCTACAACGAAGTCCATAATTGTATAATTTGCATCTGTATCTAAGTACAACATGAATTATAATGTTTATACTCATTGAAGAAAAAAAAAGGGCTATTTTATTGCAATCGTTTAGCCTGTAAATTGTGTTGCATTTTTTTTTTCTATTACTCTGAATATCCTTTCTATCTTCAAATTATTTATAATTCCGTATGAAAAATACAATAAAATTAACAGCACTTTAAATTTATTAACACTATACACGTAACAATAATATTAAACACACCAAATATATATAAACCAATAAAACCATATATAAATTCCCCAAACCCACTCTGACACCTATTAAATTTACCCTAATTACCTTTTATTCATACTAATTTTATATTTTTGGAGGGAAAAGTTACATTAACTTACAAGGTTTTACTTACATAATTCAATCACAAATTAAGACACCATAAAACCTTTCTTTTCATCATAATTTCCTATAAAATTAGCTACAGTAAAAATACAATTAGGCTATAAAGAGAATTACTTTGATTAACAAATACACTCGGCATGTTATGAAACCTTTCATAATCTTGAAAAAAAAAAAAAAATAAACAGGTTTACGTGAATATATCATGGGGAAAATTTTTTTGATATACATGTACACTGTATTTAACAGAAAAAATAATATGAAGACTTGCATCTGAAGTGAACCAGTTTATTGAAAGAAACAAGTTTCAAATTATAAACTCACCAAAACTGCCCCTACATGAATAATACCTTTACAAATTTGTAACATATGTTTTCTTCATGACATTTCAATTAACAACAATGTACAGAAAAATATAGCATAAATATTGCAAGCTGTCAGAGTTAATATCAAAATATTTAATTTAAATTCCAACATACAATCTTTTACTGTGTAATGTTGACCGACAAAAGCATCAAACATTTGTATTTATGTTCATCATTCTATATTTTTTCTCTGCTAAATTAACAGAAAAATGGACAGTAAGCGTCGATAGTGGTGATGTCTGAGCATGTTTATACACATTCGTGTCTACCAATAGACACTATGAAAAACAATGATGTGAATCAACAAGCGTAATGATTTTCTTGTTAAACATAACCTTTGAGTGCCCAACAATAAATTTATGATTGCCCCATTATAAATTTATTTTATCACACGTTACTTCTGAGTGCCCTTTACAACTGGCTCTGTAAATACATACATCATAGCAGACAAGGTTTCATACTGTAGCACTCTATTATTCTGACATCTATACCCCGGTAATTAGAAATTCTAATATACTCATAACTTCTGAATAGCTACTGTCGCAAAATACTTGCAGCTTCACATAGTATAAACAAGACTTAGATTTTACATGATGTGTATAAATGATGCTATATAACACATGATCATTTACACCATTGTGTGATATCAATACCATCAGATGCTCTTAAACAATTAGTAACGGCACATCTGTCAAGAGATCTAAATACATCATTTGTAGGTATCAGAAAAAAATCTTGTGTTATACAAAGAACCAGAAGTCTCTGTCGAGACTGTAGCTCTACTGGTTTATACGTAAAACAAAGGAAGAGAAAAGTAGCAGTTGGGACTTGAGACTTTAAATCAGCAATAAATAGAAAAATGATCCTTGCCACCCATCAAAATAAAAACCAATGCACAGAATTATGTATCTTAGTATAGTCTACTTGTGTGCCAAGTTATACTGAAATCAGACCAAAACTGCAGGAGGAGTAGCATTTTGAAAGAATTTCACAGAAATTTCTATTTTTAGTAACCATGGCAACAATGTTCATTGAAATCAAAAACCCATGCACAGAATTATGTATCTTAGTGTAGTCTACTTGTATGCCAAGTTATATCAAAATCAGACCAAAACTGTAGGAGGAGTAGCATTTTGAAAGAATTTCACAGAAATTTCTATTTTTAGTAACCACGGCAACACCGTTTATCGAAATCAAAAACCGATGCAAAGAATTATGTATCTTAGTGTAGTCTACTTGTGTGCCAAGTTATACTGAAATCGGACCAAATCTGTAGGAGGAGTAGCATTTTGAAAGAATTTCAAAGAAATTTCTATTTTTAGTAACCAAGGCAACACCGTTCATCGAAATCAAAAACCGATGCACAGAATTATGTATTTTAGTGTAGTCTACTTGTGTGCCAAGTAATATTGAAATTGGACCAAAACTGTAGGAGGAGTAGCATTTTGAAAGAATTTCAAAGAAATTTCTATTTTTAGTAACCACGGCAACACTGTTCATCGAAATCAAAAACCGATGCACAGAATTATGTATCTTAGTGTAGTCTACTTTTGTGCCAAGTTATATTGAAATCAGACCAAAACTGTAGGAGGAGTAGCATTTTGAAAAATTGTTTACAGACAGACAGACAGACAGACGGACAGACAGACAGACGGACGGACGACGGACGCATTACTATCGCATAAGCTCTTCTGGTCTCTGACCAGTAGAGCTAAAAATTACAGGCATTTTTAGTTGGTATTTCATCAAAATTTGTTTTGCAAAAGCTATAGAGCACAAGACATTATAAAAGTCACTATAAGGTCCTTTAAATATTGGAACTCTTCAATTACAAAGAGAAAAAGAAAATAAAACTCAAAACTATATTTCATATGTCCTTAATAACTGTCTGCAACCTTGTTGCAAATGAACAACATTTAACAATTTTTTCAACACAACAAATGTTATGTAGATGATAAACAGATCAATATGACCTCTTATCCACAATGCACCCATTTACTTCAAAAGTACCCAAGGCATTCATATTTACTAGGAATTTATCCAATTGAATTGGTAACATAATATCTATAGAAATAAGTCAAAAATAAAGGAAGACATGAAAATTAACAAAACTACAGAATTTAAACACTTTAACTCTTGATTTTAACTTGAAGGAGTAGAATAAAAGCTTCAATTTTTAAAATTAACTAGAACTGTCCAAACGGGACAAAATACCCCCCGCTGGGTTTTTCAGAAGTCAGTTTTTCCATAATAAAGATATGTATCAAAAACAAATTATGAAATTCTTATTCCAGTGACCTTGAACTTCCCCAAATGACCTTGGGTCAAGGTCATGACACACCCTTGGGTCATGGGCAATCTTTCAGTGAAATGAGAACCTACCAAGTTTATCCATAAGAAAGATATGGACCAGACACGAATTATGAAATTTTTCTACCAGTCACCTTGAACTTCCCCAAATGACCTTGGGTCAAGGTCATGACACACCCTTGGGTCATGGGCAATCTTTGTGTGAAATGAGAACCTACCAAGTTTATGCATAAGAAAGATATGGACCGGACACAAATTCTGAAATTTTTCTACCAGTGACCTTGAACTTCTCCAAATGACCTTGGGTCAAGGTCATGACACACCCTTGGGTCATGGGCAATCTTTGTGTGAAATGAGAACCTACCAAGTTTATCCATAAGAAAGATATGGACCGGACACAAATTATAAAATTTTTCTTCCAGTGACCTTGAACTTCCCAAAATGACCTTGGGTCAAGGTCATGACACACTCTTGGGTCATGGGCAATCTTTGTGTGAAATGAGAACCTACCAAGTTTATCCATAAGAAAAATATGGCCAGGACAGGGAATATAAATAATTTTCTTCCAGTGACCTTGAACTTTCCCAAATGACCTTGGGTCAAGGTCATGACACATCCCTGGGTTATGGGCAATCTTTGTGTAAAATGAGAACCTACCAAGTTTATCTATAAAAGATATGTATTAAACATGATTTATGAAAATTTTCTTCCAGTGACCTTGAACTTTCCCAAATGACCTTGGGTCAAGGTCATGACACACCCTTGGGTCATGGGCAATCTTTCAGTGAAATGAGAACCTACCAAGTTTATCCATAAGAAAGATATGGACCGGACACGAATTATGAAATTTTTCTTCCAGTGACCTTGAACTTCCCCGAATGACCTTGGGTCAAGGTCATGACACACCCTTAGGTCATGAGCAATCTTAGTGTGGAGTAGTAGATTCTAATGTCCCTCTGTAAGAAAGATATGGACCGGACACGATTGCACAGACAGACGGACGGACAGACAGACGGACAAGGTGATTCCTATATACCCCCCAAACTTCGTTTGCGGGGGGTATAATTATCACCTAGTCATTATTGCATGCATAGAACACTGCAGAAAAAGAAAGAGCACACACAAAGATTAATCACCAGTTCTACAGATGTAACAAAAGCCTTTTTCTACCACCACTTCTGCACTCATTCCAGAATTAACTTGGCACACTAAGGCATGCAGAATAATACTTATACAAACAAGGTGTGAATATTAAAAGAAACAAGTGGTTCAATATTTAACAAAGCACTATCATTCTACCGGTACATCAGTTTTCAAATAAGCACTTGATCACAATATATCTCTCTCATCCCATTTTCTGAAATTGAAGGAAAAAATCGAGAAATGTTTGATGCTGAAGGAGCCCTCATAATAACCTGCAGTTCATTAGTCCTGTCTCACAATAACCTACTGTTTCTTAGTCCTGTCTCACATTAACCTGCGGTTCGCTAGTCCTGTAAAGCAGAGAATTTATTCCCGAGGGACAGGGACTGGTGTGCCTTACTTGGGTCCTCCATAGTTTTTCCTCCAGACTGCACTCTGTTAAAGGACGAGCCACTCAGCTCACTGAAAGACAAAAAGAGTGATGGTCAAAAGGAGTACAAGCTTGATATTCATGTGGTATCTATCCCATCTGCCATTTCATGATACTAAGTGTGGAACATCAATCAGTTGCTGAACTCTCTATCAAAAACCAGAAATCTGCTGACACTATAGCTCTTCTGGTCTACAATCTTAACAAAAAAAAAGAAACTCAGCACCTGGACTTCAAACTCTTTTTTAGTTTTACATCAGCAGAATTATGCATCCTTTGTACTAAGTTTTATTTAAAACAAACTAGAACTTAAAGAACTTTAGGATTTTAACAAATTATTCAGTAATTAGCAGATACACTGTACCTCTATATTTCAGAATTTCCATTTACTGATTTTTGTGCAGTCCACACTAAATCTATGAGGAGTGTTTGAAAGAATTTCATAGAATTTTTGTCTTTTAAGAAAACCACATCATTTAACTGATATCCTTAATTCTACATGTTGGACAGGTGACAATAACTTCTTTACTAAATCTGAATCAGGACCGGAACTGTAGGATGACTAAAATTTTAGAGATAAATAGACCAACATTTACTATCACCTAAATTCTTCTCGTTTCCAACTAGCGCTGTTTAAGAAGGATTAAGAATATTAATTCTCTAATTTACTTTGTGGTCCCCCAATTTTACCTCCCAGCTATCCCAAATAGACTTCCTTATTGGGATAACTGGGAGGAAAATAGGGGGAACCACTGAGTACATCAAATAAAACACCCCTGTTTGTTTTACCCGAGTTTTAAATTTAATTTTATTAAATTTTAGAGATAAAAGGACCCACATACACCACCTTCTGGTTTCCGAATAGCACTGTTTAAGAATGATCAAGAACATTTAAACCTTCCTGATCAGTTTAGCTGGGAGGTAATATAGGGGAAACCACAAAGTACGTCAGATAAAACACCCCCGCTTGTTTTACCTGAGTTCTGCAGGTGTGGGTCCACCTCCCAGGGTGGGGAAGTCCTCCTCACTACTTAAATTGGGGGCGGCCTTTTTCCTCCTGGGTGTGGGTCTGGCTGGTGAATCAGTAGAACTAGTACTCATAGCTCCTCCTCTCATTGAGGGTGGGATGTATTTACCAGGCCGGGCAGGAGTTGTGTCTGATTTACTTTCCTCAACAGGTGGTGGAGCAGCTACAATACACAGAATCAAAATTAACTACTTTTTGTTATAAATGTCATACTTCTAATGAGAGATAAAATCTCACTATATTTCAACAACTTTCAATTCTCGATACCTATGGATGCATCTTAAGATTTTAGTGACCAAGGTACATGTATGCCAAATATGAAAGTTTTAATTAAGCATCACTAAAGATAAACTCCAATGTGATGATAAAACTGCATCCTATGCCCTTGGTGATGGAGATACATACAAGACATTTGAAGACAACTTTCCAAAATGATTAAGCCCAGAGTAGATGGACACAGCGTAGGTTTCTGAGTTATTGGCTCAGGGATTTATTTATAATGCTTCTCCATATCATGACCATTATAAGGTACATGTATATAAAATTGTAACCAGTGAATTAAATTAAATTACGATTGTCTAGTTTACTTGAACTATATAACATGGAACTCCTTATTACCTGCAGCCTGTGGTGCAGGCTGTTGTTGAGTTGTTTGCCCCTCCCTCACATTCCATGGCCCCTGGGCCCCTTCCCTCCTCTCTCCATTCTCATCGCACTCCTCATCATTCTCATTCTCATTGCCTTCATCCTCCTGATCCGATTTATCCTTACTGTAATGGGAGAAAACAAATTCTTATGTCACTTTGATGGAACAAATATATACTTGTACAGGATTATTTTCGCCCCGTGTTATGTTCGCCCTTTCACACTTGTAAATAATTTTGCCCCGTTTTAAATTTGCCCTATCACAGTTGTGTTTAAGAAATCATGCTGTGTTTTTTGAATTCGCCCTTGCCCACCAGCGAGTAGGGCAAAAAGGGCGAAAATAAAACGTGGTCGAAAATTTCCCTGTATACAGTATTTATATATTCAAAGCATGTTTTTGTCTCTTACTTAAAATTGTTTTCATAGAAAAGTGTACAAATCCAAGTTTACCTTTTAATGTATATAAATTGTGTTAAATAAGTAATGTTTATAAACATGATGAAATGTCTTTAGACATATGACAGTTTTCCTCACTTGATCTGGAGGTTCTGAATTCTCAGCCCTGTGTAATCTTTCTCTGTTTCTTGTTCAAAATCAACCCATTCATCATCTTCCTATAGAAAGGAAATATAATTACAACAAATAATTCATATTTAGCAATTATTTGAGCTAGTAGAAACTAGTAGAAAAGTTTGAGGTTTCCACATGTATTTTTACTTTCTGTCCAAATAAATGTCTAAAAGGGCAATTCTGGATTATTATTAGCCTGAAAAGTGCATTGTAAAGGCTCCAAGGTGATACATCCAAGTATTATGTGATGTCATAGGAGAATCATTATTTGAAAGAACTGAGGCAGTCTGTAAAATGCAGGATAATATTACAAAAACAGAGGTTGAAGTGAGGAAGGTGCCCAAAATGGCACCCTCCCTTGTGTTGTTTCAGAATTTCATACAATTAAAAAAAAAATCATTGAAAGCAAGCCCTTTCTGTGATTTCTTTCAATATCAAGAAAAAGATAGAGGGAATGTTAATAGCAAACGCAGCATGGGCAAAAAGAAAATTCAGACTTTGCACATTGATCCAAACAATTTTTTTTCACCAGTTACTTGTGGTCCCATAAATCTTAGCAAAATATACCTTGCCGCAAACTTTGTTCTTAAAGTAACAAGACTACCAAGAAAAAAATTAACATGCCTTAAATTAATGGATACAAGTATTTTGCAGATAATTCGTAGAATAAATGTCTTTGATTAAAATTCACACTGTTCATACTTTGATTTAATAATGCAACATATGTACAATTTGTCATTTTCTACTCGTAGAAAATGGCATGTGTGTTTGAACGAGCCCATTCTAAATTAAAACTGAATACAAGTATCTGTGCTTGCCCTAATGGTCGCATCGTCAATAATCACCCACAATTGCTCATGAAGTTGCTGTTCTGTTTTCATAAAACCTTATACAGCTCAGCAAATGATTTCCAAGAACCAGGCTTTGTTTGTTTATACACTATGTTAATCTGAACAACGCATATGCAGGTGATTATGTAACACCTGGGCTGGCCAGATTCGAGTGTTTACCGTCTTATTCGTTTGGCCCTCAGCTCCTGATGCTGATGTTTGTGTAGATTCGCCATCTTTCTTCTTCTTTTTCTTTTCTTTCTTGACAGAACCTAGTTCTTTTTCCTGCTGTGACAAAATGTCACCAGGGGTTATTTTTGATTTACTTTTCTTTTTACTCTTGTCCTTCTTAGCGAAGAAATCGTCAAGACTTGACTCTGCCATAACTTGAACTAATTAAATATAGCAAGGAAAAAGTTTTACATATATATTCAAACACTCCCGAAAGTTCTATAAAATCACAAGAGTCTCCCTCCATATGATCATGCTGTCGTATCACGATGAGAATACCAATCCCGCAGCGAATGCAAAGGATTGGGTAATTTTAGAATACCACAGGTAAAACTTCTTCCGGATTCATGGATTTTTTTTTCTGAAGATGATGTTTTTAATATTGATTAAATTAAGTTCTTTTTTAGTTCCTTAATGCACATAAAAGGGTTTTTATCATTTAATAATTTTGAGAAAGAAATTTTCTACATTGATACTTTGTAAATTAAATTTTTAATTAGTAAAAAAAAAAGGTTTTTTATCATTTAAAAATTTTGGGAAATAAATTTTCTACATCAATAATTTGTAAATTAGAATTTTAATTAGTAAAAAAAATATTCTGTTTGGATACCAATATTCAAGGTCAAAGTATTAAAAAATGATGTTTCAAAAATTAATTAACCTACTCAATCATAGGGGCTAGTAGCATGAATCCATGATGCTTGAATTTTATTCGATCCTTGTTTATACTATATATTTTGTATTCCTATATAATGTTAAACAAGATGTGTTTGTGAAACACTATGCGCCCGGCGGCAACAAAGTTCTAAAAAGCAATTTTTAGCAAATAGGTCACAGTCAAGGTCACAAGGTCATTGATCTTGGTGTCAGTTGAAAGTGCTTAATTAGTGGAGTAAGCATACCAAATATGAAGTCTCTATCACTCATATGTCAAAAGTTATGGCGAAAGTTCGAAAAAGCTATTTTTAGTGTATAGGTCACAGTCAAGGTCACAAGGTCATTGACCTTGGTGTCAATTGAAAGTGCTTAATTGCATACCAAATATGTATTCATGTACTCATGGTTCAAAAGTTATGGCGAAGGTTAAAGTTGACAACAGACAGACAAACAGATAAACAGACAAACAGACAGATTGGACAAAAACATTATATGCCCCGAATAAATTCGGGTGCATAAAAAGCAACAAAGTAATCAAATAAAATCAAACAGCATATGCTTCTTAACTCTTGAGTACTAAATATAAATGTACGATACTGAAAATCAAAATGTGCAAAAACTGTTTATTTTCAAGTACATTTTGAACATATTTAAAACATAACTACTGTATATTCCTAACTACCCGGTAACAACTTTCTCCCCGCAATCTTCTACTTAGCTGTTATAACTTTTTTTTTTTTTCTTTTGAGTAAATTATGTGAACAAGAGGCCCATGGGCCTTATAGGTCACCTGAGTATCATGTAACAACTTTCCGCTGAATTGAGGCCATGAAATTCACATTTTTGAAAGAGGCACCATGCATTGCTCATCATGACTCTATACTTACCCAGGCACAGAGCAGAGGATCAAAGAAATAATGCATTTCCACTAATCATAAACATATAATCAGTACATCCCCCCCACCTCACAGGAACCCATGACCCTGAGGCAACACATTCCCAATTTTGGAAAAGGCACCCAAGCTCATCATAACTATACATTTAGGTTTACTGGTTAACATTTCTAATGAATTTAATGCATTTTTGCAATATATTCAACAGAGCCCCCCTCCCCTTTAAATAATTCCTAGCACCAGAACCCCTGACCTTGGGACTGTGATATTCAAAATTAAAGAAGAGGCACCCTTGCTCATCATAACCTTGCTCTAAGTACATTGGCATAAACTCGGGTGACCTAAAATGTGTATCTCTTGCAAAGGTCATTACAAATTCAACTTACTAGATGAATTCTTGTAACACTACATGGATACACTGTAATTCTTCTAATCATCATCATGGGTGATGAAAAGGAATATATTAATTTCAAAACTGGAATATAGTATCTAGTTTCTACATTCTTCTTATATTTAATACAATGATTCTGTATAGAATTATTCAAAAAATCAAACAAGTATCAAAACTCTCTCTTTAATAAACCAAAACAAACAAAAATCCCACAAAACCATGTAAATTATACAATAAAATTTAACTCTGAATGCCAATTCAATATTACTTATTAACAAAAGCTGCAATAAAAATTTTACACTTTTCTTCTTTGGATTATAACAGAAAAGCAATACACAAATTAAAAACCAAACATGAATACACGTCAATGTCACAGTTTTAACAGCATAGGTGCCACAAGTGAGTGGGCTTTCTCTTTGCCTTGTAGAATTTCCACAATCTTTAGAGCAAATTCAAAAGTGGTTCCCGGCCCTCACACACATTTTTAGACTGGTGATCAGTTTGTCGTACAGCCACAAACTAACACACCCTCTCCTCGCTGTATTTGTAGCCACCTTAAGACACAAAAATATCAGTGAATAATAACATAATAAACATTAAAAGATAAAACATTAACACTGTTATAGATTTACCCACTGTCATCGGAAAAATGCCACACTGACAATGCTTTTCTGAGTATCGAAGTTTCAACTTCTGTGTGTAGCTGTAATAACTAGAAATATGTCCATATGACATGAATACCCCACCCAGGGTTCATTAGTAATGCAACATTAAAATTTGTATAAGAGTATGAAGTTTGATGAAAGTACATTGAATAGTTTCTTTAAAACTGAGTTTAATACAGCTCTAAAATCAAAGATCATTGGGAAGATAATGTAAGCAAAATGGACACATATGCCTAATCCTCACCAATTAATGTATCAGTGCATATGCTTGCATAAAAAAGGAATACATGAAGAAACAGTTTCTTTGAGATAAAAACAAATTTGAGAAAATTGCACACCAGGTTGAAGGAAAGGTCAAGGTCAACCAAATATCTCTTTTCAATATAAAGAAGCATATAAATTAAATAAAAAAATATCTGGAATACTTTGTTTGAAATTTAGCTTAACACAAATTCAAAGTCAAGGTCAAAGGAAAGGTCAAGGTAAAAAAAAATATTGCCTCAGTTGAATAGCTCTTACAATATGAATGAGCACATTAGGTCTGATTAGAAAATTTTAAATAGTTTCTTTAAACTGAACTTTTTATCATTTTAAGATAAGTAAGATCAAGAGAAAGGCCAAGGTCAAAAGATATTAATACAGTTGAATAGCTCTGATCAATACATGTATGTATAAGCATACAACTGTCAAGATCTGGTATAAAAAAGCAAATGAAAAACATTTATACTAGCCACCAAATTATTTCAATGATATCAACATTGTTTGTATATAGAGTCACAATGACACTAGATCAAGGTCATGACACACCCTGAACTCATAAGCATTCTTTTGTATGTTTTGGAGTTCCAAATAGCCTCTATTAGCATATGTTTAGTATGTTGTAGACCAAACATTTTTTAAAAACTTTTTTTCTGCAAGTGACCTTGATCTTGCCAGAATGACTTTGTGTCAAGGTCAGTACCCATCCTCAGTTCATATGCAATCTTTGCACCAATTATAGGCCAATGATTCTCTGTTACTGAGTTATAGTCCTGGCAAGATCGCAAGAACAAATGGACAACTAGACAGCCAGATTCCTTTATACTTTTGAATGAATATATCTTGTGGTGACTCAGTTTTTGTAGAGTTTGTGGGTATAGCTATCATCCATAAATTAACATCCTCCATGAATTCATACATGTCATTACCTGGTACTAAAATTAGGGTTACATCCATATTTCCTTTTGTAGGCACATGTATAATAGAAAACATGTAGTTAAATCCACACAAACCTACATGTATGAAATTTATGCAATCCATGAAATTTGGTCCCCACAAATTTTAATGATTTCATAATACCCACGGAAACTTTGCATTTATCACAGTATTAACATATTAAACCCCAATCCATAAATTTCTATATAACTCATTCTTCAATACTGGTGAATTTTTAAAATATATTTCTTTTCTCCTTTATTTTCCAATAAATAATGTATAAGCAGATAGATTGATTAATTGATATGATTTGATACTTGTGTAAGGATATAGTATAAATAGTTTTATGAATGTGAGTTGAGGAATAAAAAAATATTGGTCATTGTTGTAGGGTATTTCAATCACAGAAAATGTGGCATAATTTTCTAATAGGCATAAAGATATTGTTTCATTCAAAAATCAAATCATTTGGGATGATATATGTGTACATTGTCTTAGCATATAAATGAAATAATACATTTATTTTGTCAAACATGCTAAAATTATCCTAATTATTTTTTTCTGAACTTAAAAATATATGGTTCATGTTCGTAACGCATTGTGTCCATATGCATTGAAGTTTTTAACCTCTCTACAAACACTAAATAATTTGTCAAGTTCAATTTCTGTGTTTAATTAATGAGTATGTGTGATAAATTATTTTTAACAATATGCTTCATGAACATAACTCAGTTCTTTTTGTAATTTTAAAATGATCTCTGATTGTAAAATGTTTGGTGTCTTGACCGTTACGAACATAATAGCTTTCAGTATGATTGCTAAAATAACAGCCAATGAATCATGAGTTTGGCTCAGGAAATCCATAGCAGTGGTATAATTATAAATTAAAAACGAAAGAAGAAAGGTGGCATAGCTGTCTGCTAGAAAACATGGCAATGCTCATTGTGTCCAATATTGTATCAATTTGAGTGAATGTTTAACACATAAATACAGTCATTGTATCTTTATACCATGTAGCTATTAATCAGAAACTAAAATATGTCGATTATGATCATACAAAATACATAAATCTGTCCGAGTCGAGTACTTTCGATTTAACATTTGACTTTTGATTCGCGTCTTTTGTTACGAACATAAGTGTTTTTACATTATTTGTATAATCTATTAATGATATAGTTACATTTTACTATATTTTATTCTATATTTGTTAGTTTTGTTCTGGTCTTATCAAAGGATGAATACTTATTGAATATTTTTTTTAATATTGCCATATTGTTTAAGCAATTACGTTCGTAAAGGAGACATGAAAACTTGAAGTAGTGACATAATTCGTGCTTTAATTGCCTTGTTTCTGGTTTTTTTTTCAAGGATATATAATAAATATAATTAAACAGCATATGTATTGATTACATTATGGTGTATTTTGTTTTATATCATTTTCTCTTTCAGATTTACAATAAATGACTGAATTATGTTCGTAACATTGACACAAAGATCGACAAGACTCAAAATAGAAGACCTGGGATATTTAGCAATCCATTTGACAATTTACTTGTCTGCATTAATTCTCTTTGAAAGCTAGTCTATTTCTAAGCTTTGAAATGAAATATTTAAAGTATTAAAGACAAGTGTTCGATTGTCTTGTTATTTTTTTGTTCCTTTTTAAAGCCTGATTTGGAGTTAGGTGTCCATGTTACTTACATAATTTCTCCTTTTTTGAAACTAGAAATAAAAATTGTGACTTTTAAAATAAATTCCATTTAATATAACATTAAACATGATTTCATCATACCTTATTGATTACATTATTTTCATATTTTAACAACTTGTTAATCTCTAGTAATATGTTACTTGTTTAGTGCTTATGTAAGTAACGGTGTCCATTGGTAATCTTGGATATATTTTTTGATTATAATGGAATAAGGCCGAAATAACTCATGCAATAAAACATGCAAACTAGTGTTTATATACTTCAAAAAGGATTCACCAGAAAAGAATAGCTTATTGATTTAAAAAACAGTCACTGTGGACACCAAGTTACGTACATAAAATTTCAGACATGCTTGTACATTTGGACACCTATCTCCTTTAAAGACTTCAGATTATCTTCCCATAATTTTTTTTCAGAAACAGGAAGGGTACTGACTCAATTAATATACATAAATTATGAAATTGATTATTTTTAAAAAATAGCCCTTTGGTCACAAATCTGAATTCAGTTCTGAAGAATGAGTTATAGTATAGTATACAGTACAGAATAATATACATGTACAAGGAATTATGGCTACCTTCCTCCATTTTTCCTTTGACTGATGGATGTGATGTTACTTTGGATCCCGGGTTTATTTTATGACTGACCAATGCTATTGGAGCTGAAAAATATTTTTAAAATAAAATTAAAAATTCAAGCATTATACTAAGTGACTTTCATACAATTTTATCCAAGTCTGTAATTCACTATAGTTTGCGAGTTAATAGCACATATTGTCATTTTTTTTCCTTAGATTTTTTAGCAATTTTAATGCATCCTACCCATTTCAAGTATCTACAGTTCAATATTTTTGAATAATGACTATACAGATAGTCTTGCAAAACAGCATGTAAAGGTCTCATCAATGATTTAAATACCGTTAAATAAACATAATTTCCAGTTTTTATATCAAGAAGAATCTTCAACTTTGATTTAAGACCAGCCTCAAGAACAAACTAAGATATATAGTGAAAAAAGAATCTTACCTGCACAAATGGCAGCTATTAACTTGTGGTTCTCCACCTGTGATTCTAGGAGACTTTTAACCTCAGAGGACTGAAATAAGAAACAGACAAAGTCACAAAATAAATTATTTCCAGAATATTTTCCTTGAAATATTTGATAACATGCATGTAGTCCTAGAGAAACAAATGCCCCCTCCCTTAAAAAAAAAAACATGGGCCATAATGCTCCCCTGAATCACCTTGGCCCTACTGTTCTTCAGTACTTGGCCTCAGTCTAATCAGGGGGTCAAGAATTGAACAAATTTGAATCTACACTATCAGAGGAAACTTGCATTTTAATATGTTTAATTAATCATGGCCATGTGTTCTTTCCTTGATTCTTCTAAAGGTCAAAAACTTGAATCTACATGACTTGACAAATTCAAGGTTTGCACATTCTATCACTTATCATGATGTTTGTTGTTCATGAAAGTTAGAATTTTTTGACAAATTTCAATGTAAAACATTGATGCTCTATTGAGGCCCCATCCTATCCTCGTGGATGGGGGTGAAGGGTGGATGCTTTGAACAAGCTAGAATCTGTATGACCTGAAGATGCTTGCATACTACTATTACTAATCCTCACCTGGTCCTGTTAGCTTTGAGAACATTTTTAAACATATACTTCCATTTTAGATTCCATATTGCAGCCCAACCCTACCCTCAGGGACCATTAATTTTTACTTTCATATTCTAATGTAAAACTCTGATTCCTTTCACAAAAGTTTTTTTTTAGAGGGCTCAGTGGTTCATGAGAAAAATTTTCACAATACCCTAAATATTTTTGCTTTTTCTTCATTAATTCTCTCTTTAAGAGGCCATGGCCCTTTGTAGGAACAAATAGAAGACCTCTTTACCAAAGGATACTCTCTGCTAAATTTAGCTGAAATTGATCTAGTTTTCTGGAGAAATTGTGAAAAGTTTACAGTGACTGAACAACAATGATGATTGAAAATGGACAATTTTTTTTTTATCAGAAAAGCTTTTTTGAGCCTTTAGCTGAATCCAATGAATTGAATCACTTACAGCTGCGAGATTCTTGGCTCCATTTGCTCCCCCTGGCATGACGACTACGTCGTACGGAGCTGACTTCTGGGCCTCTGTCAGGGTGGTGTCCGGTACAATTCTCACATCTCTGCTGCAGTGTACAGGCTCAGTCCCATGTAGCCCAACTAACTTCACATCTATCTACAAATTAAGAAAAAAGTCAGCTATTTCAACCTGCTTTTATATAATAAATACCGAATGTCAGACACCTCAGCCCATTGACATCTCGGTCCAGTGACACCTTGGCTCAGATAGGTCCGTCCAAAATTAAAGACAGGTCGGCCCATACATAAGACACCTCGACCCAAGCAAAAATTCATTGAGAAATAAAGTATTTTTCCGTTTTCAGAATTTGTGTCATAAATTTTTTAATTATACAAAAACTTCCACGAGTATATTGACTATAATCAAGGAATGAGAAGACATTGATAAACAAAAAGCCGCAGTCTCCATACAAGTGACAATGGGGGTTAATTATGAGCAGGCTTAAATTTGGGTCTGCACGTTTTTTTAAAAATTCCACTGAACAACATCTCCAACATTTCTTATGAAAACATTCACAAAAGTTATAAGTTATGGTTTCAGCCACATTGTACATTAAGAAAATTCCTTCCATGAATTTAAAATTATTTAGTTTAAGAAATAAACTAATCATCTTTCATAGAGTCTATGATAGACCCATCCCCCTTCCTTATTTGATTTTTAAAAAATGTTAAACCGTCCAAAAAAATGACATCTTTTTATTATTAACTTCAATTCAGACACTGAATTAATTTTTTCTACCACAAATTTGCTTGGGCCGAGGTGTCTTTTATATGGGCCGACGTGTCAATAATTTTGGGCCGACCTGTGAGGGCTTAGGTGTCAACTGTCACAGGCAGAGGTGTCGATGGGCCGAGATGTCTGTCTACCTAAATACCAATACATGTAATTAAAATTTTTAAAGAGATTAGCATACCGGATTAAACTGGGTCTAGAATCATCCAATGAAACAATGCAAGTTTTCAAAAGATGTAGATTTTGAGAAATCAAGAGTAAAATTGCTTAGTTGTACAGTAGAAACAAAATGTGTTTAAGACACAATTAGTCCCCCGTATAGCAGCTCAAGGCTAAGATTTCAAATGTGGGTAAACCTTCAACATCAAGACCATAAGTTAATAAATATAGGTGAAAATCCCCCAAAAATCATGACACAAATTAAGAAATACATATGTGAAAGAAAAGCCCCCCCCCCAAATAGTGATTCTGAAAATATGGCGCAGATTAAAGTTTTCAAAATTAGATCAAATTCCAAGGTCAAGGTCATGAGGTAAAAGTTTAGTAACAAAGAAAAGATTTTATTAACACAAGGAATGCATGACATGTGAAATATGAAAGCCCTATCACCAAGCATTTAAAAAGTATAGGCAAAGTTAATTTCTTTTCAAACTTGAATGTTGGTCAAACCTCAAGGGTCAAGGTCATTGTCAAAGAAATGCCTGTCACAAGAAATATATGTGATAATAAATAAAACCCCTGCAGGCACCCACCATTAAAAAATATGTCCAAGGTTAAAATTTAATGAGAGAAGGTCAAAGTTTAAGGTCAAAAGGTAAAAGAAAATGGTGGAACCCTAACAAAGCTCCAATCATAAACAATGTTCTTGTATACTTCTGCGGCACCTGTTAAAATTCAAATGTCAAGGTCAAAAGAAAATACTGCTCCCCAAACAAAGTTCTGGTCATATGAAATACAATTCCAAAATATAAAAGTCCTAGTTTTCATGCAGCTCTAGTGCTGAACAATTTTTACATGTGACACAAGAATTGAAGAAAGACAGCTAGCAGACTCATAATTAGGCCTTAGTATTAATATTACAGTATACAGTTAGAGCATATCATTGAGGGAGTTAGCAAGATTTCAGTTCCCCAAGACCAGGACAATTTTCCTGGCGAGAGGAACTGGAATCTTGTTAACTCCCTCAATGATATACTTTTTAACTGTTTTATTATACCGATATGTAGTAGTGTAAGATACATGGCATCCAGTACTAGCTTGGCCTAGTCTTTTAGCTCAGTTGGTAGAACACTGGACTGGCAAGCCAGAGGTCCTGGGTTCAATCCCCAGCAGAGGCACAGAATTGTCTCTGTTACATTTGGCGCCCACGTTGGGACCCAGGTGTTCTCTGGCTGGTGAGAGTGATTGCCCCTAGAACTTCGCCCCTTAGGTGTGGCACTCCCAAAGACATGAGGACATTTCATTCCCTGGAGGGGGACAATGTAGTAATGTAATTTTAAGGTACATGGCATCCTACTAGCTTGGGCTAGTGAGTTAACCCTTTAGTTCAATGGTAGAGCACTGGACTGGCAAGCCAGATCCCTGGGTTCAATCCCCAGCAGAGGCACAAAATTGTCTCTGTTACAGATACAAATAGAGTTTAACGAATGGCGAGGAATTTGCTTCAAGACTATCGCATGGGGAATTAATCCATTAACATATTAGACCAATACAAAAGTAAAATCTAGAGAATTACGGATAACCGGGGATTTAGCTACAGAAACAAGGATTAGCTCATTTAACTAAAACACAGGGAATTCGTCCATTCACCGAGATTTCTAGGGAATTATTCACATTTCACTGCATTACTTTTATATAGCAAAAAAAATCAGTAGAGGTATAATAATTAGTGTTAGCATACAGTGTCTTCTTAAGGGAGTTGTATCTGAACAGTGGCATTTTTATTTAGTTTACAACAACAAAACATACTTGACAGTGTCAAATACTGAAACCGTAACACATGCGATATATTTGCACAGCCGGCATGAATTTCTACTTTCACTTTACACGAAAAAAGAAATGTTCAGTGAAAGGAAACGTACACCTCCACGACGCAAGACATCAACCGAAATGACAGTTTCCATTTCTTCGGCACCTTCTGCCAGCAACACAACAGCAGTCGGCATCTTGTTGAATTGTTTGCAGGAAAAAAAAACTGCGTATTGCAAAGTAAAGATGTGTGTAAATCCAGTTCCTACATCATCTCTTGGCCTATTAAGTATTTTTCCGGAAAAAGAGTCTACTGTTGAATTACGTTAGTATTTTAATATCTTTCCTTTTTTCCCTCCCAGAATCATATTTTTTAAGTGAAAAATTTAATTACTTTAGAATATAAATATTGTTGATGGTGTTCGTGTATTCATTTTTTCTCGACATTTCAAAATCTGCCTGTGTCCCATGGTGAGCCTCAAATTTATGACACACGGGCTCTTCCGTAGCGTCCAAAGTTCATTCAGGCGATAACGTCAAACTTGTACGCACGCGTGTATTACCGGTCTCTGTACAAGAAAAATGGGGAAAATCAAAGGTATGCGATCTAAACTGAAGAAAATAATATCGTTAAGCAATTCAAGATATGACAAAAATTAATAAATTGGCTTTGTTTTGCAGGAGGACCAGTTGTTGAAATGCAAGGAGATGAAATGACCCGGTAAGACATGCAAAAGTGGGCGGAGCATCTGTCCACAGCTGTTTTTATTATACTAAATCATTTTCATCTCTAATGAAAGAGGGAAAAAATTGTTATTAATATCTATCTATATAAATTTATTTTTTAAATGCTTTCTTTCGGTCATGAACGAGTTTCTACTTAAATTCTGAAAGATGAGTAGAATATCGAATGACATGTGGCATGTCGGATTTCATTGGCGGATCTATAATTAGAGCATTCAAAATAAGGGCCATGAAACATGTCTAAAAAAAGGGGGGATGGGGGCAAATTACATTTATATCACCTTAATATTCAAGGGAGGGTTGATAGTTTTCTTTGGCATTTTATAACATTAAATTATTTTAATTTCACAAAATCTAAATGATATTTCATTTAATTAAAATTGTTATTAATGATTGAGTTGCTACAAAGTTTTTTTCCTCAAAATTTTACAGAGTCATTTGGGATTTAATCAAACAGAAGTTGATCCTGCCTTTTGTGGAATTAGAGCTCCATTCCTATGATCTTGGAATGGAAAATCGAGACGCGACAGATGACCAAGGTACATTGAATGTGATTATATAACAGACTTGTTACTCAACAGTTATATAATATTACCACAGGGTATACACAGGGTAACAATGAAGGATTTCCCTCAGTGGAGGTTTCATTGCTTAAAAAAAAAACTTATAAAATCAACATTGTTATTTCATCATATTAGATTGTACATAAAAATATATTACAGGGTTTAATCCAGAGTAAAAGTTTAGCTAAATAAATTATAAATACTTTGAAATCATTTGATAGAGCAAAATATTTTAATGGATTGGAAAGACAAGGAAACTAAGAAAATTTAATTCCTGAATTAGGAAAAGTTCACCATCTGGACTCAAAAAAAAAAAAAGAAGAAAAATAAATAAATAAATAAAAATCATGAATATTAAATAAGTTCAAGTTTGTAATTGGGTATTTGAGTATTGTATTTGACATATTACATTGTTTGTGATACTGATTTATAAAAGCCTTATAAAGATTTACTTATCTGTTCCCTCTGATTTTTTTTTCAGTAACAATTGATGCTGCCAATGCTATTAAGAAGTACAATGTGGGAATTAAGTGTGCCACCATTACCCCAGATGAGAAGAGAGTGGAGGGTAGGTGCCATATTATTATGCCCCCCTTTGAAGAGGGGTGGGCTTATTGCTTTGCTGCTCTCTTTCAGTTGGTTATTTTGTCTTTTGGTACCAACAGTTTCAATCATTTTCTTTGCAGAGGTTGCACATACTGAAATGAAATTTGGTTTACAGATTAATCAGAGGAATATCTAGGTCATGTTCCTGTTTTGGGTGCAATCAAGCAATTTTTGACAGAGTTGTGCCCCTTGGACATGATAGAAAATTCTATTTATTTGCAGTTTCCATTCGTTTTCTATGCAAATTATGCACATATCTATACACATTTATTTTGCATTTCTATGTACACTGCCCATAATAAATAATTAAGGCTTGTAAACACTTCAGTGTATGTCTAGGAGGAGGGGGGGGGGGGGCAAGTCTTTCACAACATCTCTTGTTTAATACAGATTGGGGTACATATACTGTATATAGCTACCACATTTAATATTAAACAGTGGAAGGAAGGTATCTTATATTTTGTTAAAGATTAGAGTTAATGATCACATATTACTTTAAAGAGTAAAGGGAAGGCACCACATTTCACATTATAAAGTAAAGGCTGATTACCACTTAAGTTAGGCACCACATATAGATATACTCAATAATGTAATAATTATATGTAGTGTATGATATACCACATATAATTATTACATTATTGAATAGAAGTTGGGTAGAAAAACATTTTTACAGAGTTGAGAGTAGATACCAAACATTGTTTTATTGAGTGCAGGGTAAGAACCACATTTTACACAATGATTTAATTTATTTTTCTATTGTAACTAATTCATTGATATTAATTTAATTTGATAATTTCAGAATTCAATTTGAAGAAGATGTGGAAGTCTCCTAATGGAACCATTAGAAATATTTTAGGAGGAACAGTTTTTCGTGAAGCCATCATCTGTAGCAACATTCCCCGTCTTGTACCTGGATGGACAAAGAGCATCGTTATAGGCCGTCATGCTTATGGAGACCAGGTAAAAAGGATTATTTTATAGCTATGTGGGAACAAGATTCAGTAACTTGTCAGGTTAATTTGTTTTAATTTCCACCATATTGATTCAGTAGTTTGTCAGGTTCAAGTGTTTCAGTTTCCACCATATTGAATTATTGATGATGTATTTTTAGTACCGTGCCACAGATTTTGTTGTATTATTGGTGATGTGTTCTATTTTTAGTACCGTGCCACAGATTTTGTTGTATCATAGATGATGTGTTCTATTTTTAGTTCGGTGCCACAGATTTTGTCGTATTATTGATGATGTGTTCTATTTTTAGTACCGCCCCACAGATTTTGTTGTATTATAGACGATGTGTTCTATTTTTAGTACCGCGCCACAGATTTTGTTGTACCTGGACCTGGCAAACTCGAGATCAAGTTCACACCAGCTAATGGCGGCCAGGAACAGAACTACAATGTGTTTGACTTTACAGAGTCGGGAGGTGTAGCCCTGGCCATGTATAACACAGACAAGGTAAGAGCTATAGGGACTGGAGTATCCAGACCTACTGTTTACAATATTATTTTACTGCTGTTTTATTATTGCTCTCATCAATGCTAAATAAAGCAGTAAAAATAAGATTGTAAGTTAATTAATTTTTAGCTCACTTGAGCTGAAGGCTCAGTTGAGCTTTCTGATTGAAGATCTAGAGTGTCTGCCTGGTTCTGTCTTCTGTTGTGTGTCTCTGTAAATTTTTAACATTCTGACTTCTTCTCAAGGGGAGCCAGTCAAAGCGCCCCATAATAAAAATGTCCCGGTCAAAGCGTCCCCAAGTTTTAGTCGAAGCGTCCCCTGATTTTGGTCAAAGCGCCCCCTAAAATTTTTTTATAGAAAAAATACCGCCCCCAAATATTGGTCAAAGCGCCCCTAACATATTTTATAGAAAAAAATATTTTTATTCAAACAAATCTTTACTGTCCCCAAGAAATGGTCAAAGCGTCCCCTGGGTTTGGTCAAAGCGTCCCCTAATTTTGGTCAAAGCGCCCCCTTATAGAATTTTTTCAGGTAACTGCCAAAGAATGATAATATTATAAATACAAAACAGTTTTATTCCGTAACACGTTTGTAAAAATATAATAGGGGGCACCTTGACCGAAATCAGGGACGTTTTGACCATTGCTTTATTCCGTAACATATGTTTGTAAAGATATATTAGGGGGCGCCTTGACCAAAATCAGGGGACGCTTAGACCAAAGTCGGGGACGTTTTGACCATTGCTTTATTCCGTAACATGTTTGTAAAAATAAATTAGGGGGCGCCTTGACCAAAATCAGGGTATGCTTTGACAAAAATCGGGGACGTTTTGACCATTGCTTGAGGACGGTTCCCAGACGATTTTTTCTAAGTAAAAAATGTAATGGGGCGCTTTGACAAAAATCAGGGCCGGGGCACGTTGACTAAAATCAGGGGACGCTTTGACCAATATTTGGGGGCGGTTTGGGGGATGTTTTGTAACATCATTTTACTGTAAA